TTGTAAGTCTGTATCAGTCCTCACAAGCCGATGATGAAAACTAAATACTAAAGCGAACATGCAAGGCAAACTGACGCTGTAAATTACATGTCTGAGGCGGGGGAAAAAAGTGATCTCACCTTTTATTGATAGCAGTTAATAAAAGGGGTTCTTCTTTAACACTACGGGGATGGCAACTCAGAATATAGACATGATATAGACATGATTTTTAGTCCATTTTTAATTACGTAAACTTTTAAAAATAGAATGGAATCTCGTAGAAAAAAAGATTTGCGCACCATGTGAACGGCAAACAATATCTGTATAATCGTGCAAATAATAGTACTTTATAAATTCATATTGGGTTTTTTTTTGTATAAAAACTACTTCCGTTCAACGGAAATTACTCAAAATTTGACATGTGAAATTTCATTCATCTATCAAAAAACAGTAATCAAGTTATAGGCTTTTGAAAAATTGAAAGTAGAATAAGTCCCACTTCCGGTTACCGGAAATCGCTGAAAAGTTGATACAGAAATACAAAATTGATATAATACATATGTATGAAAATTCATCAACCGAACCGATTGCCTGATTCTAATATTTGCTGAGGCGTAAGGTCAAGCTGATGGGGGGGGGGGGGGGGGGGAATGCCATGCAACGGTATGTCGTAATACAGTAACTGTAATTACAGGCCACGGTATGAGCCACTGATCGAACATAATTAAAACCGTGACCAATCAATCACAATTTGATTGTGGTTTCACAATGGCATTTCGTCAAGTTGAATGTCCTGACTCCTCCTGACTCCTCTATGGCACATCGATTGTAGACGGTCAGCAGTATTAGGGCTCGATGACGTCAGCAGGTTCATTACCCAGAATTCGACCAGGACATTCAGCACGTCTGATGGTGAAGGCTAATTACCCAGAAATTGACCCGGAACTCACACTCTTAAAATAGCGGCTGGCTGATAATGTTAACCGACATGATCATTACCTAATGACCCTTCCCCCCCCCCCCCCCCCCCCCACGCACACTATTGACAAAACTTGGCTATTGACCCCACACTAATGACAAAACTTGGCCATTGCCCCCCCACACTAATGACAAAACTTGGCCATTGACCCCCACACTAATGACAAAACTTGGCCATTGACCCCCACACGAATTACAAAACTTGGCCATTGACCCCCACACTAATGACAAAACTTGGCCATTGACTCCCACACGAATCACAAAACTTGGCCATAGACCCCCACACGAATTACAAAACTTGGCCATTGACCCCCACACTAATGACAAAACTTGGCAATTGATCCCCCCCCCCCCACACTAATGACATACGTTGACCTGTACATTGATTTGTTTAAACCTTGCCATCGCCATATGTGACGTGTGATTCTTGTTGCTTGTATGACCAGACAGCCATATGTGACGTGTGATTCTTTGTATGACCAGACAGCCATATGTGACGTGTGATTCTTGTTGCTTGTATGACCAGACAGCCATATGTGGACGTGTTGATTCTTGTTGCTTGTATGACCAGACAGCCATATGTGACGTGTGATTCTTGTTGCTTGTATGCAGACAGCCATATGTGACGTGTGATTCTTTGTATGACCAGACAGCCATATGTGACGTGTGATTCTTGTTGCTTGTATGACCGGACAGCCATATGTGACGTGTGATTCTTGTTGCTTGTATGACCAGACAGCCATATATGACGTGTGATTCTTGTTGCTTGTATGACCAGACAGCCATATGTGACGTGTGATTCTTGTTGCTTGTATGACCAGACAGCCATATGTGACGTGTGATTCTTGTTGCTTGTATGACCAGACAGCCATATGTGACGTGTGATTCTTGTTGCTTGTATGACCAGACAGCCATATGTGACGTGTGATTCTTGTTGCTTGTATGACCAGACAGCCATATGTGACGTGTGATTCTTGTTGCTTGTATGACCAGACAGCCATATGTGACGTGTGATTCTTGTTGCTTGTATGACCAGACAGCCATATGTGACGTGTGATTCTTGTTGCTTGTATGACCAGACAGCCATATATGACGTGTGATTCTTGTTGCTTGTATGACCAGACAGCCATATATGACGTGTGTGATTCTTGTTGCTTGTATGACCAGACAGCAGTTGTCTCGGTAAACAACACTTAGAGTATTAGTTAAGCTACGTATTATATTTTAAAAACATGTCCTTGACATATACACATTTGGTGCGTGGTGTGGCGTCCTACACATGTACACATTTGGTGCATGGTGTGGCGTCCTATACATGTACACATTTGGTGCATGGTGTGACGTCCTAGACATGTACACATTTGGTGCATGGTGTGGCGTCCTACACATATACACATTTGGTGCGTGGTGTGGCGTACACATTTGGTGCATGGTGTGACGTCCTATACATGTACACATTTGGTGCATGGTGTGGCGTCCTACTCATGTACACATTTGGTGCACGGTGTGACGTCCTACACATGTACACATTTGGTGCATGGTGTGGCGTCCTACACATGTACACATTTGATGCATGGTGTGGCGTCCTATACATGTACACATTTGGTGCGTGGTGTGGCGTCCTACACATGTACACATTTGGTGCGTGGTGTGGCGTCCTACACATGTACACATTTGGTGCGTGGTGTGGCGTCCTACACATGTACACATTTGGTGCATGGTGTGACGTCCTATACATGTACACATTTGGTGCATGGTGTGACGTCCTATACATGTACACATTTGGTGCATGGTGTGACGTCCTATACATGTACACATTTGGTGCATGGTGTGACGTCCTATACATGTACACATTTGGTGCATGGTGTTGACGTCCTATACATGTACACATTTGGTGCGTGGTGTGGCGTCCTACACATGTACACATTATGGTGCATGGTGTGGCGTCCTACACATGTACACATTTGATGCATGGTGTGGCGTCCTATACATGTACACATTTGGTGCATGGTGTTGCTCCTACACATGTACACATTTGATGCATGGTGTGGCGTCCTATACATGTACACATTTGGTGCATGGTGTTGCTCCTACACATGTACACATTTGGTGCACGGTGTGGCTCATACACATGTATACATTTGGTGCGTGGTGCCGGAAAACAACGGCGTACCCAGAGTTACCGTTCTTGTGGCAGGAGTTACAATTAGTTACATCAAGCACAATTTGTTGTGTAACAAACGTGAGTAACTTGTAACAAAGTAACAAACCGAATGGCTACGTTTGTTACAAGATTACAGACAGCGTCGTGTACAAATTAGCTCGTTGTTTTCTAACTTGGATTTGAACTCGGGACCCAGGTTTACGAAAATAAAACAAGACGTGTCAGTGTAAACTTGAAAATAAAAGTGTCTTAACGGTGGGTTTTATTGTTAGAGTCATATAGAGTTGAATCTCGGGGTGGTATGTTGGCATATTGTGTTACATTAGGGTTGGGGGGGGGGGGTATGTTGGCATATCGTTTACATGAGAGGGTGGTATATTTGCATATTATATGACAGGGTGGTATATAAAGTATAACAATGTTATGTAACACTGCCATCGATTTAACTATCATCTCCGTTATGTATAACTTTTTCTTTATTGTGTTTTCGACTTTCTAAAAAGTATGAATTTAAAAAAAAAAAAAAATTATAGGCCTATCGTGTAGGAGTATGAGGTGGAATGGCGATGGTGGGTTAGGTCTAGAAACGTTACCGTTTAGTATTTGGCCGACGGTGGCCTATACTGTAGTAATAACATATATCGTACGGTTGGGTAGGAAGACTCTAATATGATTTATGTGCAAAATCCAATTGGAGTTCAAAATGAGAAGAAAGTCAAAGCGTTCAAAGTTAAAACAAATTTTAAGACCAAATGTTCACACACAAAAAAAATGAGACGGTGGAGGGGGGTGGAGGGGGACGGGTAAAAGATAAAAAAGCGAAACATGACGTAAAATCAAGTTTCCTGTCAACAAAAAGTGACCTAGAAACGCCGGCATGTTGCGGTACAGAGTTGTGTGATGTTGCGGTACAGAGTTGTGTGATGTTGCGGTACAGAGTTGTGTGATGTTGCGGTACAGAGTTGTGTGATGTTGCGGTACAGAGTTGTGTGATGTTGCGGTACAGAGTTGTGTGATGTTGCGGTACAGAGTTGTGTGATGTTGCGGTACAGAGTTGTGTGATGTTGCGGTACAGAGTTGTGTGATGTTGCGGTACAGAGTTGTGTGATGTTGCGGTACAGAGTTGTGTGATGTTTGCGGTACAGAGTTGTGTGATGTTGCGGTACAGAGTTGTGTGATGTTGTGGTACAGAGTTGTGTGATGTTGTGGTACAGAGTTGTGTGATGTTGCGGTACAGAGTTGTGTGATGTTGTGGTACAGAGTTGTGTGATGTTGTGGTACAGAGTTGTGTGATGTTGCGGTACAGAGTTGTGTGATGTTGCGGTACAGAGTTGTGTGATGTTGTGGTACAGAGTTGTGTGATGTTGTGGTACAGAGTTGTGTGATGTTGCGGTACAGAGTTGTGTGATGTTGCGGTACAGAGTTGTGTGATGTTGTGGTACAGAGTTGTGTGATGTTGCGGTACAGAGTTGTGTGATGTTGCGGTACAGAGTTGTGTGATGTTGCGGTACAGAGTTGTGCCCTAGACTTGTATTGACCCACCTATAGCTGTCTGATAGAGTCCACATCCGCTCCAAATAAAAATATAAACAACGTACATTGAAAGCTAATCAAGCGATGGCTTAAGGTTAATCTAATGATTAGGATTAGGGGTGTGGTTTGTCGACTCAAAATAAATGACACATTGTATCTAACTAATGCTAATGAGTACATTTATTATTTAATTTTTCGCCTACTGCCGTCCGAAACGTAATTTATATCAGGCTAGCTGTCTTCAGCCTAATCAATATGTCAACAGTTTAAGGGGATTATGTTAAGCTTAATCTCAGGATGATACTAGTTTTTTTTTACAAGATTAAAAAATAGGTAATAGTCCTACCTGATTCCATTCGCTAACGACTAGAGTGCGATCTAGTCAGCACAACGTCGAGTTGGTTCAACAAAGGCTAGGAAGCGAATGATAGCTGATGTTATTTCCTGTTAAACTGCTGGTTGATGTCAGTTAAATGACATGACAGGCAGCCAGTGACATCTCAGTCGTACACGTCCTGAATTGTGTCATCTGAGGTCACAACTATCCCGCGCACCGCCAGCCCAAAATTTGTCACACTTGGTTGATTTCGTTCACACACCAGTGAACACGCGTCCCCAACACACCTCCCTGCTGCCACAAGCACTTCAGCTTTCCCGCGGTACTTAGCGGGTTTATTTTTAGAGCAGGCCGACACAGTCCTCATGATCATTGATTACGGCTGGCACGTGACATCATCACGTTATTTATAAAGAGCTGACCAGCACCGTTAGTATTTTTAGCAACGGGTTTACAAAGTTAACTTAAACGGTTGACCTACTTTAATCCAGGATGTCTATTTTAAAACAAAGATGACAATTTTTTGGTCTGTTTTAAAATATCTTTGTGTTTAGGTCTTTATAGGCTACCTAATCAGACTGATTCATTAAAAAAAAAAAAACAAGCAGACAAAATATTTAAAAAAAAAAAAAAACTTGCATTTAAAACCCTCACTTTTCGATTGTTTATATTATTGTTTTGAGTTTATATTTAACTCAATGCAACGAGCCCGCCGGTTGGCTGAGGCCACGCCGGGGAGACGATCTGTCCGGGATTCAAAGGGTCGATTCTAAATATCATCCAAATACACAATTTTTTTTTTAAATAATTAGTATAAAGGCTAAATCAAAAAATTAAATAAACATTTACCTTAGGCTGCTGTGATTTGAAGGGGGTGTACTAACCACAAACAGTATAAAAAAAACCTACCGTGTCCGGCAGTTGTGTTTACGTTTGTCGTTCAGCGTCAGAACGTGGAGCACATACCGGCAGACATCCGTGTTTCAATCGATCAAAACACACCGTCCTACGACACTCGTTTGACGGCCTTTCAATACTCGGTTCTCTCCCTTACAAGATCGTCCCAGCCCGCCCCGCCAGTTATTTGATTCTTATCTGGTTCTGTTTTTAATTTTTCAATGCCACCTGATACGCTTTAATGCCCTTACACCCCATTTAACAATATGCTTCCCCTTATCTTTTATAATCAGCCCAGTAAAATACATACACACACGTATACACACAGTAAAATACATACGCACAAGAAAATACATGCACACACGTATACCCACAGTAAAATGCATACACACAGGAAAATACATATACATACGTATACACACCGGCACATACAAATGCACACGTGCATACATACACACAGGCACTTACACTCCCGTCAAATAAGCTGCTAAAGAAAACCTGCAAACAAAGGTACCACTTCAATAAGGCTCCTGTCAAAAAGGTACCCTTCATTAAGGCTCCTGTAATTAAGGACGACAATTAAGTTCTTAACAAAGTGTTTCTTAGTATTTGTGACTGAATTGTCGGCTTCCATACTGTTGAGGCCTTTTGGTGGGATCCTATTTGTCGGGCCGTTTTCTTGGGGCTGTTTTGTCGCGGTAACCTTAAGGTGCCACGTGAGTACACGTGACCTATGTTAAAGCCAATGTACCAGACATTCATGTGGCTATAAGTAAAGTAAAGTTTCTCTTTCAAACATGGCGGTCTATGGGGCAAGTGAAGTAGAGTTCACTTGTTTCTGTGACCTCGACATATGAAGAGATAGTGTGGTCAGCACTATGCCCAGCCGCCTTTACTCTCCCTAACGTGAGTTAGGTACCTATCAGAGTTGGGTGGACTCAGGGACGGTCTACTGGCTTGAACCGGGATTCGAACTCGAGACTTACGGGTTAGCAGTCCAGCTCTCTACCGCTATACCACTCCGTCCCATACTCACGTGGCTAGCTATCAACTAATTAACCCGTATAGGAGCCTTCGTGCCGTTACTCAAGTCGTTGATTAGCTTTTCGAACAGATTTTTATACACCAATAAAAAAGTACGGCTTACCTATGTCTAAGGTAGAAAGATCTAAGGTATCATTATACATACAATAAAACATCCTATACCAGTAGTACTTGCTCGAGTGAATGAGGTAGGGATTAAGTGATATTCCACGGTGAATGCGCTTTGTGTTAGAGACAGGTTATGTTGCGTCCTCGGCTGTAGCGTGTTTCAATAAAACTTAACCTGTCGCACAACACTTTGACTAACTCCCAACGGGTGTTTTATTTCGGTGTAAAACAATAATTGATTGTCTTTCTATTAAAGTATATATTACAAATAGTTTTAATTAAACTTTTAGAAACGAATTTCTTGTTTTGTAAATCTTTTTTTCTCATTCCCTGTATGGTTTACAGTAGAGCGTAGCATTGTGTACCTACATAACATAGAGGCTAAGCAGTCGCAGCACATCTATAAGATAAGTTGTTATAGGAGGCTGGGCTTCCTTATACCAAATGAAATCATATTTGTTTTTAGGGAAGGTTGAACTATTTCACATCATAATTTAATTCTATTAGTTATAGACGGCTGAACTATTTCACATTATATTCTAAGCTTATATTAGTTATAGACGGCTGAACTACTTCACATTATAATTTAATTATATTAGTTATAGACGGCTGAACTATTTCACATCATATTAAATCCTATTAGTTATAGACGGCTGAACTATTTCACATCATATTAAATCCTATTAGTTATAGACGGCTGAACTATTTCACATCATATTAAATCCTATTAGTTATAGACGGTTGGAGTATCTTATAATTTTAAAGGGCTAAAGTCAGAGTTGGGAAAGGAAGACCATGTAGTAAGACGTAGAAAAATTTCCTCATCCAAATTACATGTTGAGTTAGAAACACCTTAAACTTCCATAATCTCTCATTTAATAAAGTGACGAAAAAATATAAAAACAAGAAAAAAAATCAATAAATTAAATTGATTGTTACATTTGAAACAAGAGATACAAAATAATATTAAAGTGTAAATGGGGGAGGGGGTGGCGGGGGGGGGGTAGGAAAAAATTAAAATGTTAATTTTAAGCTACATTACTTAAATATACACAGTTCAGAAAATAGACTGCTATATGGTTTTACCGAGAGATTGAAAGTTTTTTTTCTAACGAAATGTGGCAGCAACATTAAAAGCATTGAGAGCCAGTTTCCTGTTAAAAACTGCGGCGCCTTTTCCAAGTGGGGGAGGGGAATTCAAAGAATGTTTGAATGGTCCGCATAATGGCGATTTACTTGATGATACTAAATTAGATAATTAAGTAGGTCACAGTACGTGGATTATGTATATTTAACAACACACGATTTTTGAAAATATATGAGCGAACTCGGAACATTACGAAATACATGAACGAATAAAATGACAAAACAAAATTCATCGCTAATTTTTCAACACGACAAATATCAAACTAGAAAATAAATGGAAACAAAATTCCTGTATCTACAACCTTGTACATTTCCACAATTATGTGTGTATGCAGATTTATGGACATTTACTATTTGGGAAGATGTTAAAATACATTTATGAACACCGAATGACAATAGGCCTAGGCCAGGGGTCGGCAACCTGCGGCTCGCGAGCCGCATGCGGCTCTTTTGATATCAAGATGCGGCTCTCCAGCTCCTTGAACAAAACCTAATAATCTTAATAAAAAAATAAAATATTTGAAATAAAAAAAATGTTAGTGGCTCTTTAAAACCAGGGAAATTTTGAAAATTGTAACTTTTGGCTCTTCCGCTTCAAAAGGTTGCCGACCCCTGGCCTAGGCTACTTTAAAAACAGAAGCCACCGCCTCGCCCACGAAGAAAGACCAACATTTTTTAAAACCGCCCACCTTTTTCAGCACAAGACTGCCAAATTGTATGAAGACGTTTCTGTACTTTATGTTTGTTCATTCAATCATGACCGAACAGTAAACTTAAGTGAAATCTGATACTTTTATTTTTTCCATTTATAAACCATTAATGTTATGTATTGCTCTCTGCGCCACCTATTTTGGCAATGCTTTGTCTGTGAGGTCAGTGCTAAAGGGTAACACACAAAAAACTATTACCATTTTTGTGTGACTTTAGAATTTACGTCAGGATAATGGATAGAGTGCTGAGACGTAGGAGTTGATCAGTATGTCATGTGGTGGGTGGGTTTAGAAAATAGGTCTAACATGGAACACTGTTCTAATTTTTTTTAATGTTACACTCTCGTATATGAAGTAGCCTATGGGAAGGGGAAGTATTGTAATCGTCCAAAAAAAAGCTATCGAAATTTTCACAAATCACGACGCTTTACACTTATTTGAGTCAAAATACTTAGTTTTGCAATTTTGTCTTTATATCTGTGTGAACACTATTACTTGAGTACGGTTTCGGTTATATTTACGAGATTTCATATATAAGTATTATGTCACATTTGTAACTTTTGAACATCTTCCGGTAACCTTACTCTACATCCAGTTTCTGAAAAGCCAATAACTTGAGTTAGGTGGACGAATTTTCATGTATATATAACATCGTAGGCGCATATCTCTGTCAAATTTTAAACGATTTCCCATAACCGAAAGTTGTACTTTATTTCCGTGTCAAGCCTATAGCTTGAGCACTGTTATAGTTAGTTTGACAAAATGTCATCTATCTATCTATATATATAATTCTCTTCTGGGAGACGCTAGAAAACAAGCTGTAAGCGCGCTCCCTACCACCCCACCCCTACATGGTCTGGTGAGCTGTGGTTCACGCTAAATGTTTACATTCGTAGAGCCGGTTTAGTGATGGCTATTATGGGCAGATAATTTAGTTTGAAACGATTTTAAACTAAGGGGGGGGGGTAACTAAAAGGAGGCTGCTTTCACGGGGGTGGGGGGGGGGGGGGGGGGGGTAGGGGGAAATGAGGGTGGGGTAGGGGGAAAGGAAGGTGGGGATAGTATCGTTCTTAACGACCTACTGATAGCGTTTTAAAGTGTTTTCAGTGGCAGCATTGGTACTGCCGAATTCACAAATTATGAATTACTGAAAAGTAGAAAATAAAACAACTAAATAGCGGCATATGATACGCCGCGGGTCGGCTCGTATTTTTTAATTTTCTTTTACCGACCCCCCCCCCCCCCCCCCCCCCCCCCCCCCCCCCCCCGAAAATGGAACTTGATTTCTGTGTTCTAAAATACCGATACCTTGAGTACCGTTTCAGTTAGGTGGACGAAATTTTGAAACATTCTATCAAATTTTAAGTGATTTTTTGTGAACGAAAGTATTACTATACGCTATTTCTGATAACAGATTACTTCTACCGGACCGATGTCTTCAAAACTTTTCACGTGGGTCTGGACTCGATGGCAACGCACTGTGATATCAAATTTGGCTGAATTGGATATTTAATTAACTTTCTAGTAACTAATCAATGTTTCCTTTATAAAGTATTAATTTTTTTCGCTCTTTTATTATACACACATTGTCCACTTGATCCGAAATTCTTTTTTCTACATCTAAAAAAAACATACATCCCATTTATAGGAGAAAGTTTTTGGGGAGATCACTCCGGTTTTATTTCCTACTAAATTCTAAGTATAATCATAATATTCATTAATGATTGGGTTAATCAATCTCATCAGGCTTTTTACACAGATTCTTTCTGCATTATGATTCAGGCTTTACAAACAAAGGGATGTAGCATGCCAAGAGTGCATGAAGTCATTAACCAGTTTGGGTAGTGTCTCTCATTCATTCAGTAATATAGTTGTTTGCAACACGGAGCAAGAATTGGGGTATAGCTTGAAATAACAAGAGGTACTAAACAGGTAGTTGACCAGATACAGCTGAATGAACTGTCCAGTGTAGTATAAAGCTAGGTCAGCATTCTCTGTACCAAAACTCATTGTCTCATTAGTAGCATGGCATTCAGTTCTGTGTGCTAATTATACAGGTAGGTTGATTAAACCAGTTGACAGTAAATGCAGTTTGGACAAGATTAAATGAACTACAGCTCAAGTCAGACCAATTATAAGAGCAAAGAGTGAGTTTAATCAAATTTAATCCAGCAAGAATAAGACAGTAACTTTTTCATTACATATTTTAACACAAATAAAGAGTATAGATTTATGTAGTAATGCAAGGATGGATAATCTATTTTTAAATTTCAGTTCAAAAAGTAAATAGTTATCTCTAAAGTGCATAACAAAATAATGGTCTGGTGTATAGATACTGATTAAAAAAATAATGTTACATGAACCAAACAAGAAATATAATCTCAAGTCTATAAAGAAAACAATGTTACATAAAAAAAATATAATCTCATGTCAATGGTGAAAATAATGCCACAGCAAGCCAAACAAAAAATATTACAGCAACTATCTGCTGTTCACATTCATCTGATGTAATGTAGATTTTTAAAAAAGGGGAAGTAATAAGAACCAAAAAAGCTGTAACATAATGCTAATCTCTAGATAACAAGATGTATGAAAAAAAGTCTAAGTTGTGTAGTGAAAATAAAACAATAGTGTAAATTTATTCTACACTTCAACTCAAATCTGATTTTGTAAGCAACTAACATTGACATTTTTTTAAAGTGAAAAAGTTTTCTTTCAAAACATCATTAATGGTTCTTCATTTCTTTAAAAACATCAACTGTAGTGATCTGTAGTATTTTTGTTAAGCCTAGATTTATTGATTGAATCTTGGAATGTTCACACTACAGCTATTACAAATGTTTTGTGCTCATCAAAAGCCCTAATACTGTGATGAATGATACAAGTGACTTGCACATAAAATCTTCAATTAGTCCACAAATGCATTAGTCACCAAACACAATCACTGAGCGAATACTGAGGAGAAAATTGATCAAATGTTTATTAACAAGTGGGTTAGTTAATACCAGTAGGAGATAGGATGAGAACAAACTGGATAGACAGCATAGAGAGGATGGACAGTACATAGTGGATGGACAGCATAGAGTGGATGCGCAGTACTGAGTGGTTGGACAGTACATAGTGGATGGACAGCATAGAGTGGATGCGCAGTACTGAGTGGATGGACAGTACATTGTGGATGTACAGTACATTGTGGATGTACAGTACATCATAGAACTAGAAAGACACTTCATTTAAAAAAATTTTAAAAATAAACTCACTGACAATCTGTAACCAATGAATAATAAAAAAAACTGACCTCTGTCCAGTGTGCATGTAATGAAAAGCTTCATTGATCTGGTCTAGTGGCAGGGTGAAGGAGACAAATTCATCCACCTTCAGTTCTTTCTTCATGTACTCATCCACCAACTTGGGCACTGAGTCTCTACTCTTCCAGCCTAGTGATACAACATGTACAACAGTTTCATCAGGCTCTTAAATGGTTTATATTGGGTTATACCTCATATGTAATGTACTGTTTACACTAATCATTTCTCAGAATGCTGGTTTTTTATGGTTATACAAAACTAGTTTTTCAAATTAAAATCTGGATTTCAAAATTTGTCAAAGTAATTACAGTTTAGAAGTATGGGCTATTAAATGCATGCACAGATTAGTTTAATGAGATTTTAAGCTATTGTTTTCAATCATTGCCTCTGTTTTTGATGAAAGAAATAATTTGTAATTACTAGGGTATGCTTCTGGATACAATTATGATGAACTATGCATAGTTTAGACTAAAAAAATTATTTCTCGTAATTTTCTTTAAAAGTTTAAGGATGTATTTCCTGTGACAGCAATTTTATGATTCAAAGCCAATTTTGAAAAACTTGAGTTTTACATTCTAAAACAAATGTAAACCAATGTTAAACAGAAAATTGAAGCGCCCTTTCATGACTTACCCCCCCACACAAGTTCCCAATCATGACTTACCCCCTACACAAGTTCCCCATCATGACTTACCCCCCACACAAGTTCCAAATCATGACTTACCCCCACACAAGTTCCCCATCATGACTTACCCCACACACAAGTTCCCAATGACTTACCCCACACACAAGTTCCCAATCATGACTTACCCCACACACAAGTTCCCAATGACTTACCCCCCCACACAAGTTCCCCATCATGACTTACCCCACACACAAGTTCCCAATCATGACTTACCCCCACACAAGTTCCCCATCATGACTTACCCCACACACAAGTTCCCAATGACTTACCCCCCACACAAGTTCCCAATGACTTACCCCCCACACAAGTTCCCAATGACTTACCCCCCACACAAGTTCCCAATCATGACTTACCCCCCACACAAATTCCCAATCATGACTTACCCACACACAAGTTTCCAATCATGACTTACCCCACACACAAGTTCCCAATGACTTACCCCCCCACACAAGTTCCCCATCATGACTTACCCCACACACAAGTTCCCCATCATGACTTACCCCCACACAAGTTCCCAATCATGACTTACCCCACACACAAGTTCCCAATGACTTACCCCCCACACAAGTTCCCAATGACTTACCCCCCACACAAGTTCCCAATGACTTACCCCCCACACAAGTTCCCAATCATGACTTACCCCCACACAAGTTCCCAATCATGACTTACCCACACACAAGTTCCCCATCATGACTTACCCCACACACAAGTTCCCAATGACTTACCCCCCACACAAGTTCCCAATGACTTACCCCCACACACAAGTTCCCAATGACTTACCCCCACACAAGTTCCCAATCATGACTTACCCCCACACAAGTTCCCAATCATGACTTACCCCCACACAAGTTCCCAATCATGACTTACCCCCACACAAGTTCCCAATCATGACTTACCCCACACACAAGTTCCCAATCATGACTTACCCCCACACAAGTTCCCAATCATGACTTACCCCACACACAAGTTCCCAATCATGACTTACCCCCCACACAAGTTCCCAATCATGACTTACCCCACACACAAGTTCCCAATCATGACTTACCCCACACACAAGTTCCCAATCATGACTTACCCCCCACACAAGTTCCCAATGACTTACCCCCCACACAAGTTCCCCATCATGACTTACCCCACACAAGTTCCCAATGACTTACCCCCCACACAAGTTCCCAATGACTTACCCCCCACACAAGTTCCCCATCATGACTTACCCCCACACAATTCCCCAATCATGACTTACCCCCCTACACAAGTTCCCCATCATGACTTACCCCCCACACACAAGTTCCCAATCATGACTTACCCCCACACACAAGTTCCCAATCATGACTTACCCCCCACACAAGTTCCCAATCATGACTTACCCCCCACACAAGTTCCCAATCATGACTTACCCCACACACAAGTTCCCAATCATGACTTACCCCCCACACAAGTTCCCAATGACTTACCCCCCACACAAGTTCCCCATCATGACTTACCCCACACAAGTTCCCAATGACTTACCCCCCACACAAGTTCCCAATGACTTACCCCCCACACAAGTTCCCCATCATGACTTACCCCCACACAATTCCCCAATCATGACTTACCCCCCTACACAAGTTCCCAATGACTTACCCCCCACACAAGTTCCAAATCATGACTTACCCCCACACAAGTTCCCAATCATGACTTACCCCCACACACAAGTTCCCAATCATGACTTACCCCCACACACAAGTTCCCAATCATGACTTACCCCCACACACAAGTTCCCAATCATGACTTACCCCCACACAAGTTCCCAATCATGACTTACCCCCACACAAGTTCCCTATGACTTACCCCCCCACACAAGTTCCCTATGACTTACCCCCAAAAGCTGACCCTCTCCAGACACGACCAGTGACCAGCTGAAAGGGACGGGTACTTATCTCTTGTCCAGATGCTGCCACCCCTATGATAGTGGACTCCCCCCATCCTTTGTGACAGCATTCAAGAGCAGCTCTCTAGAATTGAACAGGTTAAATGCAACAAAGAAACTCAAGTAGGCCAACACTGTTCAACTGGTAACTAAATTAAAATAGTTATTCTGTTCTGTGTCTACTTACCATGGTATGGACATTTCCAATACATTCAAAAGTATAATCAAAACCCCCATCAGTGAGATTCATCACCACCTCTTGTATTGTCTGGTTAGGGTAGTCATTAGGATTAATGAAGTCTGTTGCTCCAAATGCTTTAGCTAAAAAACAAATACACTAAGGGACTTATTAATAAATTAAATCTCAATTGTGCTAGTATTTTCTCCTCTGTAGCAATGTGATATCTTTAAAAGTATAAATGCATACAAATCACTTGTACTGAGCTTTATTTAATGTTTACCAATATTGTTAGGTAGAGACAAATTATCCAAAGAGTCTACTTTATAAAGCAAGAAGCACAATAAAATTAGAATAAAAAGATGTTACCATGCTCAAACTTGTCAGCATTGATGTCAATACCAAAAATCTTGGAGGCTCCAGCCTTCTTACAGCCCATAACAACAGCAAGACCAACAGCCCCCAGTCCCCACACACCACAGACAGAACCTGGTGAAACCTGGTTAAACAACAAATTTAAACCTAACAACAGCAAGACCAACAGCCCCCAGTCCCCACACACCACAGACAGAACCTGGTGAAACCTGGTAAAAAAACAAATTTAGACATAACAACAGCAAGACCAACAGCCCCCAGTCCCCACACACCACAGACAGAACCTGGTGAAACCTGGTAAAAAAAATTTAGGCTATTGAAAAAACAAAGCAAAATATTGATAAGGCAAACTTTGAATAATAGAGACAACACCAGCAACAGTTAGTCATGTAATACTGTACATGTTATAGGGATATCCCTCTGTGTAGCTACTTACAGGCAAAATTTGCTTTTTGACAAAGTTCTTTTTTTTAAAAATATTTACAACACAAGAGAAAATGAAATCCTAACACTAGTTATATGGTATACATATCTTTGCTTTTGTAAATGAAACAAACACAATTTTATAGAAATAAACAATGGAGGAAAATATTGGCAGCATCAGACAATCTGATCACTAAGTGGCTTGCTAAATCAGACTAAAAAAAAAATTCATGGCCGAACTGATCATCATGCTCTATGTATAACCTATTCCATTCTGTTTACCTTGGCTGTATTTAAGGCAGCACCATAACCAGTAGAGATACCACACCCCAGCAAACAGGCCTTGTCTAGTGGGGCTTCTGGGTTTATCTGTCAGAGAAAATAAAGTAATCATGTACAGACTCAGGCAGATGCTTGTTTGAAATCTTGCATATTGTACAAGAGCAGGAAATGTAACAGCCTTATCAAGAGAAATCTAAAAAGTGTTCCATGTTAAACAACCCTTTAATACTATTAGAAACTACGGAAAGTCCACATTAAAAATCAAAGACCTTATATATATATAATTTTCAGTTTGTTAATGTATCCTATAATGAATGTGCATGAATGAGAATTCTAAAACAAATATGAGATAATTTTTTAACACTTCTCAGTTCACATGAATATGATGTAGGGATCTAACTAGAAGTGTTAACATGACAGTTACCTTAGCAACAGAAATCTCTGCACACACAGTGTACTCTGAAAATGTTGAGCAGCCCATAAAATGGAAGAGTTGCTTCCCCTTGCATGTGAACCTGGAGGTTCCATCAGGCATCAGTCCTTGACCTTGGGTCACTCTACAATGAGAGCCATGAAACAGATGTAAACAAGGAAATGTTTACGGTAAACTAAACACACATGTAAGGGAAGCAGATATAGAACTGACCTGATCTTCTGACAGAGATTAGTTTTCTGATTCTTACAGAACTTGCACTCATAGCACTGAGGCAGGTACAAAGGAATAACATGGTCTCCTGAAATCAAAAGGTAATAATTTGCTTCACGTTTTACCGGGATTATAATCATAAAAATACAAGGTGAGTGAAAAACTATGATCAAATTAAAATGACCATGTTAGCCAACATTAAGAATGCCTGGACAAAGTAAAAAGACCATCCTACTGGTTAAATTAAAATGACCATCCTACTGGTATAAATTAAAATGACCATCCCAGCCAACAGTAAGACTACCTGGACAAAATAAAATGACCATCCAAGATGGCCATACAGTAATAAACTATGACTACCTGGCACCACTGAGGTGACACCTTCTCCAACACTTTCCACAATGCCACCACCTTCATGGCCAAGAATTACAGGAAAAACTCCTTCTGGGTCATGACCTTCCAATGTGTATGCATCAGTGTGGCAAACACCTGTTGCAAGAATCTGAAATTTAAAAAAAAAACAATTTTACTATATACTGATGTACTACCAGCAGCATAATTAATAAATCATTCCTACATTATTTTGAATGCTACTTAAAAGTTTTTTTCTAAGTAAAGAGGACTTACTCGGATTCTAACTTCACCAGCTTTAGGTGGGGCTACTTCAACTGTCTCAATGGATAGAGGCTTTTTTGCCTCCCAGGCCACAGCAGCTTGACATGTTATGGGCTGAAAATAGAAAATATAATTTATATAAGAGTAAACTAACATTATATATATAATAAGATGATTTTTAAAACAGAAATGATAAAAATGAAAGAAATCACAAACAAAAACCAAAAATTGAAAAAAAAAAGTGTAATTGTTAGCCATTTAAAATTAAAATAAATAAATCTAAGCCTATATATTTTTACAATATGTGCAGATGTATTGCCCTATATGATTATGTGAAGCTATATTGTACTATAGCTATAGCCTGCCATAATTCTCTAGAATTTTACCGGTATTTTAAAATAGATCTATTCTAATATCTATACTCTAAATTCTGGAAATATTAGCTTAAACATTAAAAATGCAGATTTCTTAAGATTCTTTTTCTAGACCTAGGCTATGACCTAGATCTAGCTAATCTAGATCTTTAATCTGGAATTCTAGCTTCAAGCTTGGGGGTCGTCCATAAATGACATCACACTAGTAGGGGGTCGGGGGGGGGGGGGTCCGTAATTTTGAGCGTCATCACCCTTTTGCATTATAAAAAAAGCAATGTTAGAAAACAAATTTTAGACGTTATTTCGTGTTTTAGAAAACTGTTTTAATAAATTGTAATAGGAATTGATTAAAATTCTCTATTTTGTCAAAGTTCAGACAAGATTTTGGAAAAATATCGATGTTTAAAAAAAAATTCAACTGCAATTTTGAGTGGGGGTTGTAGGCTGAGGTGTGACGTCATTTTGGGGAGGGTCTGGCTTTTTGTGACGATGTGTGACGGAGGGGTGGGGAGGTAATATCGTCAAAAAAAGTGTGACGTCATTTATGGATGACCCCTTGTAACTAGGCCTTTAATTATATAATAGTGTATAAATCTAGCTAGATCTACTATCAGATCTAGATCTGGCTAGAAAAAAAATCTAGATCTAGAGTCTAGATTCTAGTTCTAGTCTAGGTATGTGATGTGTTGTGCAGTCTAGATTAGAATAGTCAATAGACTCACTTCACTAAGTCTTCTTCTTCTTCTTCTTCGTTCTTAATTTTTTAGTGTTGGGAGGGATCGAGCCTTATCTGCCAGAGGGTTTAAACTCGAGACTTTTTTTTTAATGTATCATCCATGAGCTTTTGCCGACTCGACCATTCTTCCATCACAATTAAGGATTACATGTCAACTGGTTATGCGCCATTGAGGCCATTGACTCCGATTTCAGCCTGCTTTTCTTTTTGGATTTGCTTCCATAGCCTATGTCTAACCAAGAACAAACTACAATGCAGCAGTTGTTTGATTTTGGAGTTGTCTCTCCTAGAAGAGTGGCTGTCCCCAGCTAACGAGCCTTATCTGCCCGAGGGTTCGAACTCGAGACTTTTTGGTTTAGCAACCATGAGCTTTACCGACTCGACCACGCCAACCCCTACTTCACTAGTGATAGTGTGGTCAACAATCAAGTTACCTAGTGTAGGTAGAGTCTAGAATAGTCTAGATCTAGATCTAGTCACCTATCCTAGTGCTGTTACTTCTATAACTACTGTAGACCTAGAATAGATAGATCTATAATTACTATATTAGTAGAATCTAGTATTCTAGTACTAGTAGGCCCTATGTATAAACTATAAGTTAAAACTATACTATAGATTTAGAATAATAGATTCTATCTAGAATCTAGAAATTGATCTAAATCTACACAAACTGTTCATTTAAATAATATTTTTAGTTTTTAATCCACGTCAGCATTCACATTTTTTTGCCTGGTTCCACGGAATGACTGAGTACCAGGTCACAAACCTGGCCAGCTGCAGCTGTACAGCTCTGACCATCACCAAATCAAAAACAATAAATAAATAGGCCTACTAGAGCATATGTTTCTAGCGGATCCGTGTTTTGTTGCAATTATTAATAGGTTGATCTAGATAAATCATAATTAAAACTTAGATTAATAAATAGATCTGCTCAAGCTTACTTTTCCTGCAGTATCCATGATTTTAAAAGCACAGCCCAAAGGTGTTCAGCAGAAATTTTAGAGTATCCGTTCTTTTATCTGAACCTTGAACCCAATGGCATATTTCTAGTGTCGTGTGCAAAAGTTGACACACGTAACACATCGTCTGCTAGCTAAGGCCCTAATGCTCATTCTGCAATCAACGATTTTATTTTTACATTATAGATCTAGATCTAGTCTAGATCTAGAAGGAAAATTGAAAATGTGTAGGCCTATTTGTTTTTATTTTGTTTAAATTATTTATTTATTTTTTTGTCAATAAACGACGTTACACTCACATGAAGGGAGAGGGGGGGGGGGGGGGGACTTGTAAAAGATGGTGATCAAGCCCAGTAATAAATACAATATTTTTTTAAAGTAGGCCGAAAATCGCATTATTTTATTTACTAATTGTTTTGTATTAAATGCTATTATGAGGAGGATAGTGGGGTAGTAAATTCGATGAAACTACACACATATACCCCCCCCCCCCCCACAGCTGACACCCGTTGTTACAGAAATTGTCAACATGGCACTTCGCATGTCGGCCTACAATTTCAAAAATGTCATACACCAACAATGTTACCCTAATACCAATAGACCTTTACTACCCATCTTAATATTTAGCTAGTTGAGTTGTTCCCGTGAAGGCTACAGTATAAATTGCAGATTTTTTAGTTAATACCCTATGTCAAACGTCAGACATCATTTGCACTAAAATGATTTTACCAAGTTCCACCACACCCCGATAACTATAAAGCTGATGAAATGTTTACTTTTTATATAATGTGTATGAACTACAAAAGTTATTCTTGTCACTCAACTGAAGTCTCTTCCAATGTAGCACATCATCAACCCCTCACCGTGTTGTAATGTTTTATTTGTAAGAAAGTCTTCGCTGGGGTGTCTTTGCCACCATAACAAAAACAAATAATGCTAAATGAATTTTAACATTTGTTAAGGTAAGCTAGTATTTTGTAGTATAGTCAAATATGTATTCATGTTTTTGTTTATATGTGAAGAGCTTTTCATGTATCCTGTCATTAAGCATTTTCTTTCTCACAATATGTTCAGAAACTTTGGCATTGCGTGCTATAACATGGGATATGTTCTTTGCATGTAATCTACACCTTAAAAACCGCATATATTTAGGCTGGACATATTTGAACATAAAGGGTCAAATGTGTCGAGACTGACATATACCTCTAATAATTGTCTTGTCTTCTATTGCTTTTCATTTTAACCAGGTGTAAATTTTGTTCCACAGTAATTTCCAAGGTAACACAGTACTTTTATTATCTTTTTAGTTAGAGTACCGTCTTGTTAAATCAATCAATCATCAGACACTAACTTACAAGTGCACTCTACAAACACCATTCCACTCAGTAAACAAATCTAGTCTGATGGGCATAATACCAAAGCAGTTTATTTGACCAAAAGAAATAGTAACCAACTAACAAGAATGCATGTTCGCTACAATAATTACATCATTTATTTAAAAGTCCAAAGGGAAACACTTAGGTCAACATTGTGTGTTGAATAAAGAAACTATTGTATCAAGAAAACAAAATGACTTAAACACACAACCAATGAAGAAACACAAACTGTACACATGTCTCTTTGGTGATCTCCCCTGGTACAGCACTGCACAACACACACTGGTATAGTACAACTGGCTCCTTCTATTCTTTAAATACTCCAAATACAGGTAGAACATCTCTTTGTTACATTATCTTGGAGGTACAAAAACTTTGATATTTGCAGAAAAAAACTACACTTAATTTGAAATACATGTTCACCTCTATATGAACTAAAATATACATTCTCTAATGTAATATTTTAATCACCAAAAACTCTCCTTAAAATATTACAATAACATTAAGATTGTATACTAAAAAAATATAAAAAATTACAATTTATCCAATTATCATATTAGCTACAGATCAAAGCAAGAATTGTAATTTTTATACATTTGGCGCACAAAACTACACAGAAAGCCAGTAATGAAAAGCTGGTTTATAAAAAAAATTAAATGCACATTATTTGAGGATTATATGTAAAATACAATTTGTGACAAAGGTGGTGTGGAAACACTGTACAATACTTAGACTTGTCAAAGAAAACCATACTGAACAATGTGTTTTAGCTCATACATATATATCCCAGAGAAACAGGGGGAGTAATAAACAAAGGGAAACTACTAAGATAAGTGTCCAGCTTTGAAGTGTAGGTAATCATGCCTTCAAACAAGAGAAATGACATCTAGAAATACAAATATTACATAAGTGTTGGAGGAAAAGAAAGTTATTTAAGCATCTCCTGGCCAATCAGGTGCTCACTTCCTATAATAAAAAGTATTGCTATCTAGAATCTTTGTTTGGTTCAACTAATATCACCAAATGTTCTTTTAATGGTAATTTCCATGCTTACTTCACCTAATTTATACATATTTTGTACATGAAGTAGACAACACACTTAAATATTGACTATTGTTGTTGGCTGTTGAGGTTGAAATTTATTTAAAGTTTAATGATTAAAAAATGTAGCTTTGTTTTAATTCCATAACTAGTGAAAAAATATCCTAATGAAAAGAGTTGACAGAAGAGAATGCTTTAAACTTCATCCTCCTTTGATTGACTTCTAGGTAAAACAGCTGGCTGTGGATCAGACTGCATGAACTGGTTGATGATTTCCTGCATGGATTCACGCAGCTCTTCTGGGGGTTCATTGTCCTGCTGGATTTGAGAATCTTCTTTGATGGTTGTCTCTTCCTGCCCATCTATCCCAACTGTTGTCCTCTTGTGGACTTCCTTCTTCATCATCAGTCTGAGGACACGCAAGTAATGTGTTAGTCCTACTAGGACAGAGGATACAGCAGGAAATGTGTTAGTCCTACTAGGACAGAGGACACAGCAGGAAATGTGTTAGTCCTACTAGGACAGAGGATACAGCAGGAAATGTGTTAGTCCTACTAGGACAGAGGATACAGCAGGAAATGTGTTAGTCCTACTAGGACATGCTATTTGCTGCATACATTAACCAGACAGTTATGATATAGATCTAATAGGGCTTTAAACAAGCTTATACAATGACATCAAGGTATGGTGGTGGAGTAAAGTGACAGGTTAATGAGAAATCAATTTTCACAGCTGTGTTTTAAATTAGACTAGAAAAACTGGTAAATTAAAGTTGAACAGAGCACTAAACCTAAATACAATAGAACATTTGGATGACAAGAACAAATAAAAACCAAATGACACATTTAAGAGTGTTTGCTGCAGGACTGAGACTAAAACTATCAAGAAAGGTCAAGGCTTCTCACCTGTGTGTCTGGACATCTTCATCCCCTTGAGCACCTGAGCTGTAAGCTTCTTCTCCTGTTGTTTGAAAGATGAAATTTTAATAAATTTACAACTTTAGGTACTGTAATACAGTGTTCAAATACACCACACTAACATATTTTTATATTGTGGGGACATTTGATTTCCGCTGATTGAGTGAGACTAGAGCTGCAATACAGTTTGGGGTAATTTCAATAACTACTTTTAAATAACTTAATTATACTTTATATAATAAATTACTATTTTAGTTCAATCAAATTAATTACGTGTTTTTTTTTTAAATAATATATATTTCTTACAAATACTTTTATTACATATTTAAACGAACATCAGAGTTATACAACTGTTTTGAAAGGTAAGTGTTTAAAATTACTATAACAGAGTATTTGACATCCTGATTTTTTAAAAAAATGGCTTATAACAGATGTGACTTCAGCATAAAACAAAAATTGTAAAAACAATGTATGACACATAATGTAAAAACATTTTTTCCTCTTACCAATCAGGTCCTGTGTTCTTCTAACATAATAAAATATTTGTTTGTATTTAAATACAATTGAACTGAATAATAATAGAAATGAAAAAAGGATTACACCAATACATAAAAGAAATCACAAATAAAATTAAAAAATGAAATCTTTTTCCATGGCTGACAACTCAATGGCTGTTTTACAATCTGAAACTAAAAATGTGAAATTGTCACATGAAACAAATAAAACACGGCAAGCAAACAAATAGCACATTAATAATTCTGTTTCTTTGTGAAAATAAATTTTGAAACAGTTCTCTTAGGTCAACAAAATCTCAATGTCTGAAAAGTTTTATTCAATGCTCAATGAAATGCCAATGTCTAAAAATATAGTTTTTTTTATGTCCAACCAAATGTGAATGTCTATAAAAAATTTTGTCTAGGTCCAGTAATCCAACTTTTGCCAACTGTATTTAAAATAAATAAAATTCTGACATTCAACATTTAAGAACTCATTAAAGCAAAAGACAGTGTTGATAATGTTTTAAAAGAATGTAAGTTTTGTAGCTAATTATTTAATTTTAACTGTTGTGTAGGTAATTGATGTGGGTGATGATGATCAATACAAAAGTAGTTAAATTTGAAAGTAATGAGAAATGAATTTTTTTCTCATGTTGTATGATGATGATGATGAAAATTTTTAAAATGACATCTTATTTAACCGTACTTAAATTAATTATTAAATAAGTTATTTAAATAGTCTTTAAAGTAATACATATTTATAAAAATAATGCTGATGATTAAGTATGTCATCATCAAATGAAAATAATTCAATTTATGTATTGTTACTTCCAAATATATAAATATTAATAGATTATATTCTACCAGACAAATTTGACAAAACTGCTTTCACGTTTAGCGTCCTTTTTTTTATCTCTGAAGATTTGTAGAAGTGTCAAATAAAAAGCTACCAGACAACAGCAAGTGAGGATGAAAGAACCATGACAATAAATTGGCTAGACATCAAACAGAAAGCTGAGTGGGGTCATAGTCCACCTTTTCTGTGCTCATCATCGTCATCATCACTGGTGCGAGCTCTGTCACCTGGAGATAAAAATGTGTACAGTTTTGTTACACCTCATGCTTAAAGGTTAAATACTTTCTTAATCCTACTTCATTGAGTATTTTAGAAACAGATTTTTTATACAGTTTTAGTTTTGTTAAAGTAACTTCCAGTATTTTATGTCTAAACATAAAGTAGATTTAAGACATCACATTCAAACAGCAAATTTATGTTAAAATAAAAACAATGTACAACTCAACAGAAAGCTCATAAAGAACAGAAAAAAATCTAATGAAGAATGAAATCACAGTCGTAAATGAGTTATGATATGATGAGCTCTATATAAAATTGTTGATAAAATGGCGTACAATATTTTGTTTTTATATAATAAATGATGTTTTAAATAAAGAACATTTTTATAAGGAGCCCATTTCATGATAGTATTTTAAACAAATGAACACCAATATAATATAAAGACAAAATAAAATAATATGTAAACAATTATTTTGTCTTTGTATTATTTGCAAGAAGCAAGCAAAATAAAAATCTTGCTTTTTTAAATACAACAGAAATGTGCAAGCTAACATTAAATAAGTATGTATTTTAATTAAAAAGTTTAGAAATAACCAAATGATACAAAATCTTAAATCAACACAGAAGTAATGACTGATCAAGGAATGAAAAATTAACAGCAAGTAATAAAAAAAAAGAACTTTTGAGAGGAAGAATATAAAGAGCTGCCAAAAACAGGAGAACTATTAAGGTGAAGAATATAATCAATTGACAGAAATAGAAAAACTATTGAGGTGAACTGAATAATCAAATGACAGAAATAGAAAATCTATTGAGGTGAAGAATGTAATCAATTGACAGAAACAGCAAAACTTCTGTTACACAAGATGTGCAGGATGAAGTTAGAATCTAGAGGACCATTGTTTAAAACACATTTTTCTTAAAACAAAAAAAAATTGCTACAAAAGAATATAAAAAGCTGAGAGATTTTTTAAAAATCTGTTAAGTTCCAGCAACTGAGATACAACAAAATATTTTGAAAGAATGAAAACTATCCAAAAACACTTGCAATAAAAATTGATTCTGAAGATGTGGCCAAAGAACAAAATCCAAACAACTACCAAGAAAGCAAATTGAAAAAATAAATTATGTAACTAAAGAAATACCCAACCTAAAATAAAAAGAATCTAACTGAACAAAAAGTCAAAGTAGATAAGTAGATCAGACGCAAGTTTACAACATGAAAATGTTTTGTGAATTTGTTTTTTTAACTTATTACAACAACAAAAAACTCAATAAACTAAAATAAGTTAGTACTAAAAAACTAGAAACTAAAAAACATTTTTACCATACAACATATAAAACTACAAAGAAATCATTATGCATGGACTATGCACTGTTTAAATTTAGCATTCACTTTACTATTTCATCAAAAGTGAACTCTTTTTAAAATAAAAAAATAAAACATTCAGGTCTAACTCCATGCATAATGTGAATACAACTAAACAGAAGTGTGCATAAAAAGCAACCAAAAAGTTGAAAGAGATCACATAGTTCCAGTACCTCTAGAATAAGTTGTGGCTGATGTGATAGTGGAAGAGACCATGCTCATCTTTAGAGATGGAGGGGATTGAGATGAGGAGGATAGTTTATCCTCTTGGGAGCTTTGGGAGAGGTCAGGAGAGGAAGCAGTGAGGGCGGAAGCTTTAGCTTCTCGTTCTTGTTTTTCTTTTTTCAACCTTTTCATTTCTTCCCATTCCACCATTGTGTACACTTTTCTAGTTTCCTGGTACGGCCCCCAGGATAAAAATGGACTTTCCTCTTTCTCTTGCTCTTCTGTCTCATAATGCTTAGGGGATTCTCTTTTGGGCTTAGATTTACTATCATCACGCTCTTTCTTCATAAAAATGTCACTATCATTATCATCATAATACTGAGTGGGAGATTTGCGTCGAGCCTTTGTTTTGCTATCTGAGAGTGGTTTGCTGTGTGGGATGGGCTGGGCCCCACTGCTGGTGTAAAGAAGGCTTGTCTCCTCCTGGTGCCACTGCAGTTGTTGCTCCATTTTCTGATACTGGTGAACTCCCTCGGTAATGCTTTCTGTTGAGTGAATATGTTTGGAGCTTGTCATTGTTTTTTCTGTTCTGGAACTAGATTTCAGGTTATCAGATTCAGTGGAGACTTGCATGATGTCATGAGATTGGCTGGAGTCTGTATGAGACTCGGACATGGAATGACCGGTGCCACCAGAGCTGGCCATGCTCCAGGCCGCAGACTCCACTGAGACCATCATCAAACTGTCCTCCTGGTGGACATCCTTCCCAACACTCTCTTTGGACTCTTCTTTGCTGATGTCAAGTTCTAGGGAATCAGCAGAAGTCTGCATGAGGTCCTCCCCTGAAGGCATTTTCTCCTCCTGTTTTTCACTTGATTGTCCTCCACTAGATTGTCCTCCACTAGATTGTCCACCCAATTCAAGAGAATCAGCTGAACGAACCATTCTATCATCCTGTTCAAACAGGGAATCTGTGTCAAACTTTAGAGAGTCTGTATCAAATTTAGCAGAGTCTGAAGTCTTCATTCTTTGCTCCATCATTAGAGAATCTGAAGACAACTGCATCAGAGCTTCCCCTTGAAGAGAATCATTGTCAATGTCTATGGGAATGGTCTGTGTAGTGGCCAGGTCTGGGCCAGCAAACACCACACTGGATGCCATCTCAGTTATCTCAGAGCTCTCACCATCCAGGGAGTCAGCATCTCCATCTAATCCCAGCCTGGCACCTTCACTGAGAGAATCATGGTCAAGCTCGTCTAAAGAATCTTTCTCATCCCTTTCATCCCCCCCACCAACTTCACTGAAATCTGAGCTCCCAAACTGGGCAGAGCCCATCAGCACGCCTGACTCTAGGATGGAAACAATTTTCTGAGCTTCAACCTCAAGTTCAGTGGCCACAGCTATCTCTCTTTCAAGCCTTTCAAATTCATTCAGAGATGTGTAGGAGGAAGCTTCACTCTGTCTGCTGGAATTTTCCACTGAACTTTTCTTTTCATCTGAATCCCCCTGGCACTCTTGTTCCATTTTTTCAAAATCTGCCAGTGAGGACGAGATAGAATTGGATGTGTTGTCACCAGATCCTCCTGAGCTTTTACTTTCAGGCGTGTGTTTCTCTACAGAGCTGGCCGAGCTGGAGACCACAAGGACCTGCTCGAGGTGTTCAAACTCAGCCAGGGAAGATGCTATGGAAGTGGACTCTTCCCCTCCACGCAACTTGGAAAAGCCAACAAATTTCCTCTCATCAAATGAGCCGCCAATAATGTCTTTCTCTAGGTCTCCTCTTTCAATAGAGCTCAAAGAGCTTGAAAATGGTATTGCCTTTTCCATTTGCTCAAACTCTGCAAGAGATGAGGAAATGGAAGCTGATTCATCTCTCTCTGCTCCTCTGCCAAAGAAACGGAAATTTGAAATTCCAGGTGACTGTTGGATGTTGTTGTCTGGAGAACTCCCAAAGTGATCTGATAAACCTGCCTCAGACTCCAGGTCCTCTCTTTCAATCATTTCAAATTTATCCTCATCAGACATTTCTGTGATGATAGAGAGTGCAGCACGGTCGACAAACTCAAACCTGTCACTGTCAACAGATGCATCACTTTCTCTGTCTTTTTCTTCAGAGTTCCCAGCTGTCCATTCCTGAGATCTCTCCATAGATACATCATCGTCTTCTGTATCATCCAGATCCTCTCCAACTTCTCTTTGTCTGTCTTCCTGATGAGACATCTGGATGTCCGATGTAAAAGATGATGTCATGGACGCTATTTCGGCAAGTCGGTTTTCATCAGGTTCTTCCTCTTCATAGTTATCTGCCTCAGCAGCAACCACAGTGGCAAAGCTGTCCACACTGGAATTGTCGCCGTGATCCTCCTGGCTCATGTAGGGATCAAATCCTTCAAACAGTTCCTCCAGCTGGGTGGATCCAGACTCCACATCCACATAGAACTGATGGTCATCCACATGACTTGTGTGCACGGTCTCTGTGAACACCAAACTAGATGCTGACTCACTAGAAAAACTTTGCTGATGATCCATTTCTGTTTTGGAGGTTTCCTTAAGACCTTTGACTGAAATATGTTCTTCAATTTCAACAGAGTAAATGGAGGATTCATAGTTTTCTTGTTTTTGATCACTTTCTGTTATAAAATCTTCTTTATCAGTTAGCATTTGAGCACCATCTTCACCATAACTATCTTCCTTCTTTGATGAGAGCTCATAATCTTCCTCATCATCCACTTTTTCATTGTCTGAAAAGTGATCTTGTTCAGATTTGTCCTCATCACTTTGTTCATGTGAATATTCTTCCTGTTCATCTACCTGCTGGTCATGGTTATCCGTCTGATCTTCTTGTTCACTTCCTTGTTCACTTCCTTGTTCACTTCCTTGTTCACTTCCTTGTTCACTTCCTTGTTCACTTCCTTGTTCTTCTAATTGTTCATGTTTATAGCCTTCTTGTTCTTCATCACCTTCCTCTTCCAATTGTTCATGTTCACTACCCTCCTCTTCTTCTAAATGTTCATGTTCATCAACTTCCTCTTCCTCTAACTGTTCATGTTCATCAACTTCCTCTTCTTCTAACTGATCATGTTCATCCCCCTCCTCTTCTTCTAACTGATCACGTTCATCAACTTCCTCTTCTTCTAACAGTTCATGTTCATCCCCCTCCTCTTCTTCTAACTGATCATGTTCATCCCCCTCCTCTTCTTCTAACTGTTGATGTTTATCAACTTCCTCTTCCTCTAATTCTTCATGTTCACTTTCCTCTTCTTCTAATTGTTCATCTTCTTCCTCGTCTTGCTTCTCTTCCCACTGTTGGTCAACAAACTGTATGAGCTCACCACTTTGTTTGATGACCAAAGGATCACCTTCAACCACAAATTGGGCACCATGATGAATCAGCTCATCTGTTGATGTCTCATAGCTTTGGTCAACAAACTGTTCATCTGTTGCAACTTTTTCAGTTTCTTCTCTTTCTCGCTCCACATACTGATTCTCATCATCTTCAGAAATGCTCTCAGGCTGTGGGGAGTACCCATAATATTCATCTTCATTCATCTCTTGGTGCAGATGTTGCGTTAGAATGATGCCTGGGATGTCTTCAGATATCTGTTTCACTAGAGTCACCCCTCGCTTCTGGGCAGACTCTGAGAAGGCATCAGACTGTGGTGGATAATCTTCATCTTCAAAGGTAATTTCAAACTGGGTGTCATCATCTGCATGTTTAGACATTTCTTCTAGATGATCTTTATTTTCTTCTGGTGAAGTTTCTTGAGAAGAAACTGAGACCTTGACATCTTCAAGAATGGAGTCTACAAAGCTTGTGGCAGCCTTTTCAATGACACCAGAATCCTCAGCAGATATTTCCTGGCTTGTCTGTGGTGGGGTGAATGTCCCAGAGATTGGGGGTGTGAACATATCTGAGTGGGATGGCGTGTAGGTGCCGCTCTGAGGAGGGGTGAAGTTTCCCCCAAAGAATCCTTGCCTGAGAGCATCAGGGGTGGGTGAGAGAGGCCTGTCCAGATCTGAATGGGATCCAATGGAGAGGAGATCAGTGGAGAAGTGACCAGATGACTGGGCAGCTTCTTCTTTTAGATCATCACTAGAGCGGCCAACTGTCTGGTCAACGTCATCATCTGTTTCCAACGGGGGCTCTTCTAATCTTATAAGTTCTTCCTCTGGGCGCTCTTCAAACTCCTCCTCCTCCTCAATCTCTAACTCTTCTTCAACTTCCGGCCCCTCATGTACAAGTGGTTGTGCCCCACCAATGGCATAGCCCTCTGGATATGATTCATCTCTTTCTTCAGAGGCACCAAATGACATTGTTTCAATATTTACCTCTAAAGCTCTTTTGCCATGGTATATTTCTTCCTTACCAAACTCAAATGTTGTTTCTTCAAAATCATCCCTATCATCTGGCTCAATGGAGTAAGGGCTGATAGATTCTTCAGGCTCAGCCAAGTAAACTATTTCTTCATCTCCTGATTTCTCCTCACCTTTCTGAATCTCTTGGAGATCTGGCTGGTATGTTGGACTTGGAGTTTGCAGAGACTCGTGCATTTTCTCATCATCATACATCTCAGGTGAGGTCACCTCTTCAGTATCAAAATATTCCTGAGGTTTGATCTGACTTGTGGTTGAAATCGTTGTCTGAATAGGTTCTTCATCTACAGGACAGCCATTGCCCTGATCCTCTGATGGCTGCTGGATATCTGGCTTGGCCTGACTTGTTGTCATGACTGTGGGCACAATGGTTTCCTCACCATCAGGGTGGTCATCCTTATCTTCTGGCTGTTGAATGTCTGGCTTGGCCTGTGAGGTTGTCATGATCGTGGGGAGGACAGGTTCTTCTACCTCAGGGAGGGAATCTTCTTCTGGCTGCTGGATGTCAGGTTTGGCTTCAGCATATCTAGCAGTAGATGGGTACACCATCTCCTCATGGTCAGGGTAATCAACATCCTCCAGTGGTTCCTCATGATCAGGGTAATCGACATCCTTCAGTGGTTCCTCAGGTTTGGTTTGACTGGTGGTCATCACAGTGGGTTGGATTACTTCCTCTCCATGAATTTCTTCTGGCTCCTCTTCTGGTTGTTGAATGTCAGGCTTGGCTTCGTATGACCCTGACATGTGAGCCTCAAAAAAATCTTGCTGAGCGTCAGGTGAAACTGGAGACCTGACTTCCTGAGCTGGCTCACCAGACTGAGCATGAAAATCAAATGTTTCCTCATCTCCTCCATCATACTCTGCAATGTAATCAACTTCAGTTGGTCCATTTAAAACATGTGATGCACTTACTTGCTCTGTTATGACATGTGAACTGTCACCATGATCTTCCATACCCTGAACTAATTCCTCAACATGGCCATTTTCTTGGTCTGAAGAAGCCATTCCCATAAGCCTTATATCAACATTACCTTCAGCCTCAGGTGAAGCCTCCTCTGACTTGATTTCACTGAGTACAGCTTCATCATCATGAGGTGAACTCATGTCATCCTCTTGTAGTGTTGTATCCTCACCATCTTTTGAATCCAACCTCTCTGAGTGTCTCAGCATCTCCAGCTTTGAGCTTGCACTCATGAGGCTGCTGCTTAGGTCAACTCTACTGCTTCCACCTCTGGGGGTGGAGACAGGAGCTATGGGTAATGGTGGAGACGGACACACATCTGCACCTGATAACAAATGACCACGCAGTATGGCATGGCCATCCTGATGCATTGAGTCTAAACTTCTAGTGGTTGTATCTGTCTCAAACACATCATCCTCAGGACTGGAGAGAATAGACTTGCCTGCTATCTCAATGGGACCCTGCTTCTCAACTGTGTCAGGTGAAATATCATAGGCTGTAACAATGTGACATACACTCCCACTTTCTAAATCATAAGACGCTGCCAGAAGTGTTGGTTCTACAGATAATTCCGAAGATGAAGAGGAAGCTTTGAAGTCATCAACAGACTGTTCAGAAGCTCGTGTGGTTAGACGGTCAGTTTGAAAAGTGACTCGTTTTTCAAGGGGAGGTGTTGCCTTGAGAGTGGTGTCATCTTCTTCTATTTCATCAATCCCTGGTGTCTCCTCTATTGGGGACAACTTCTCTTCTGTTGAGTCCCGTTCTGTTTCTGAAGATTCATAGATCTCGTTGTCTGCAAGAGATTTGCCAAGACTGTGTACAGCCATGGGGAAATGTGTAGGGTGTGCTGGTGGGATGGAGCTTCTAGCCTCTTCATATGTGGTGCTCAACTTTTTCGTACCTTTCTCTCTGGATGGGGACAGTGAGCGATCTTCCTCATCAAAAGATTCTTGAAGCAGGAGCTCTTGTTGGGCCATCCTGGATTCCTTGCTAACTACACTCATTTTTTCTGACCTCTGCTCACTAAAGTGAGCCCTGCCATATGTGAAGATTGCATCTTCCTCACTTTCATCAAAAACAGGCTGGTCATGATAGGGTCTTGAGATCATATCAAACTCACTGTCCTGCTTAGGAGTCTCAGGAAACTCTGGATCATATACCTGCTTGGCTATTTCATGCTTGACTTTCTGCCTGCTCTCCATAATGGTGCTAATGACATCAGCCTCATGTGCAACATCTATGTGCTCATATGGCTCACACAAGACTTCTTCACTATACTGCTCTCTTTCTTCTTCCTGAGAAGATGCCATTTCAGACTCTTTATGTTCCAGTTCAAAGGTCACTTTTCTTTTAGACACTGATACAGTTTCTGTAGGCTCTGTCTCATCATAGAAACTCTTCTCTAGAAACTCCTCATCTTTAGTTTTATCCCGCCTGTAAAAAGTCCCCATGTCTATAGACTTCTGAGCCTTGACCGTGGACTTCTGCTCTTCAACAAATGACTCAGAAAATTGTCTCTTATACTGGTGAGCTATTTCCCACGGGAGTTTGGTGTAAGTACCAGTTTGCTCATCAAACACCTCCACACCTCCACTATCTGAGGAGCTTTTGGACGATGTTTCATCAGCTTCATCCTCAGAGGCAGCAGGCAGTTCTCCTCCAGTAGCTTCACCAGGCTCATCTGCAGCATCATCCTGAGGTGACAAGTCCATCAAACTTTGTTTCTCTCTCATCCCAGAAGGGCCAATATCATCTGTTGGTTCATATTCAAACCCCCTGTTATCAACACCTGTGACATCTTCATCTCCAGAATCTAACGCTGACACAGCATATGAATCTGCATAATGCATCTGAAAAGCTAACTCCTGTTTGTAATCAGAAATATCTTGTCTGTAATCATCCGGGAAGTCAAATGTGAGAGGTTTCTCCTCAAGATCCTCCGGTGAAATATCTCTAGTCTCTTGTCGAAGTAGTTCCCTTCTCCTCCTCTCCTCAGCATCACTGTCGCGAGACTCCATGGTGTCAGTGACTTCTCCCAGCTCGTAAGCTTCACTGTCCTTGTGAGCCTCCTGAAAGCTGTACTCCTCATCCTTCTCCTCCTGTGTGATGCCATCTTCCTCTTGCTCATCTGTTGGCTCCAGTCCACACAGCTCAGGCTCCAACTCCGTGTCATCAATCTCCTCCATCTCCCCCTCATCGTGTTCAAGTGAGGGTGTCTTCTCCTCTAGAAACCCAGGGCCAGTGGCTTCAGCTGTTGTAATGTCAGGGACAGAGCGCTCCTGCTCAAAAGAAAAACTTGGCTTATCTGTGTGTGGTGGGACAGGTGAGAACTGGTCCTCCACATCAGTTTCCTCAGACGTTTCTTCGCTCACTTCACGGATCTCAACATCTAAGGAAAGAATGGTTAGTTGATGGATTGTTTTTTATCAAGCATTTGCCTCTGAAGGTCAAGGAGGTTTTTTTTTAGGATAAAACAAAATTGAACCTCATGTTGATCCAAAATTCAGGTTCACTACAAAAATTAGCAGCAAAATTAAAATTTGTCTAAGTCTTTTTTAGGAAAAAAAAATTATTTTCTTTGATAATTCAAAAGCAAATGAATTTTCAAAGGCAAAGGAAACCATGCAACCAAAGAGTGTTAGAACAAACAAAGTAGATTTTAAAAATATCAATCTTAGTTTAAGACATGTAATCAGACTGTGATTTCAATACCTAGAAGCTGTTCAAACACAAAAGAAAAAGATCTGTAACTAAAGACAAAGCTAAAGAATTCATCTCAAAGTATTATATGTAACCAATGGGACAGAAAGGGTTAAAAAACATTGAACATTAATAAGAAACTACTGTGCCAAATACCTTGATCATCAAAGTCATCCAGCTGGGCCACCTCAGAGCTAGACGAGCTCATCTTGTCCACGTTAAGGATGGCCATGGCCGCGGCCACATTGCGACATTCCTCTTCATCATCATCTAGTGAAAGATCACAGTACAAATAGCATGCCTAAGATGTTGATACAATACTCAAGGGGAGAACAAATTAATGTCAAACTGGCTCCAGACAAAAGGCACATGCATTCAGCCTTAAATAAGATATCTCAATTTTAATTGCCATGCTATTACAGTGGGACTTGGAATTCTGGTTACAAAATGGAGGTCTAATAGAATTTGTAATAGATTATTCAGATAATTTTCTGTTTAATATTTAAAGTTCAACTTTGCAACATTAAAATCTTTGACTAGCTTGAACTTATTTTCCCCAGCTTCTAGCCAGATTTATGTAAGTTATGTAATTAATATACCTTTTGCTGCATAAAGATGATAAATTACTATATTTTATATCTACTCAAGTGGGTATTTAAACTGTTCAAATAACAGCGTAAGTTTAACTTGGAACTGAACAACACCAGAGAAGCAGGATTTAAAATATACACAAGTTTGTAGAGTAATAAGAAACTGTCTACATTCATAATGTGCATAGGTTAGTTGGTTCATAGACCATGCAAATGTTCCACCAGTTTTGATTGATTTATAGACCGTGCAATAGTAGCATCTTATACAAATAATAATAAAAATAATTCCCATTCAACACCAGAAAAAAAATAGCTTATATTTTTTAACTGCTCTAGTTATTTTACTGTGTGCTGTAGAATTTAGGCAATTTCAAAACTTATTTGCAGAATAAAATAGAATAAAAGTGCAAGAGTGGATTAAAAAATTGATAAGTTTTAAAATGTCAATGAAGACATGTTGACAACCATTCTAACTCATTTTCTAGGATTGTTTTCTGACTTGCAGCAACCTGAGTTTACTTACAACACTTTACACTTTTAAACAAAGTTTTACAATACTGATATGGGAATTATTATCATACAGAAATGACAGGTCAAAATGTTTCTTTAATATTAATTTTTTTTTTAAATATGTACATGCAGCTAGCAATCAATGAGTGCTTAATTTTTCCAACATACAACATGGGTGCAAGCTAAGACAGAGTGAGATGAAAGTCAGATGAGAGAATAGGGGAGCTGGCCGGACCTTTTCATCATCTACACAGAACACGTTTCATAGAGCGGGTCAACCTGTCCTACACTCCCTGGTGAGTTTTCATGCAGCTTAACACAAGCAAAGTTTTTGGTATAACTAACAGTTCAATCGGCACCTTAAAGCAAGAAACAAATGGCATAGCTCCATGGAAGGGAAATCTACCGTCAAGTTTAAGATAAAAGAAATCGGTGTCTGTTGCATGCAAGTCTAAAGACAGGCAGAGTTCTCAAGAACATGGCAGCTCTGAGTGTTGTATTAACCCATGGCTAGGTGGAGTCAAGAACATGCAATAGGTCTAGTTAGGCTGCCTCTATGATGTTATAAAATAAAGTGAAGCAGAGTGGATAGAAAGAGATTTGTGTCATGAGAATGATGATCACTGAATGCCTAGTGAATGCAAAAGGAAAAGCATGGTCAGTTATAATAATGAGAAGCTTGGTATTTCTTTAAGCGGTGATGCCACGATGAGCGACCAACTCACCTTCCATGGGGTGGGTGGCGAGGGTGTCGCGAGGCTGATCCGATTCTTCATGAGTGGCGGACCAGCTAACTTCTAGCTCAGAGTTTTCAGAGTATTTGTAGCTCTCTGCTTTGTTTTCAGAGGAGAAATCATACCTCTCCTGTGAGGAGGTCAGGTGAAACTTTTCCTCCGTGTAGGAGGACTCTTGGTGCTCCTCAGAACTCATTTTAAAATTCTCTTCAAAGTTCTGGAAGTGGGAGGCTCTTTCAGTGTAGGAGCTGTCCTGGAACGATTCAGTAGAGGACTCAATCAATGTTTTTTGTGCATCTGTAGTTTCCTGCATGAGGTGCTTCTCACTGAAAGCTGATTGCTTATGCATGTGAGACTCCATGCGCTCACTTTGATACTCGTGTTCCTGACTAGCACTCACCTCACGCATCAACATTTTTGAGCTCTCCTCAAATCCCTGAGTTGATCTCTCGTGTAACTCCTCAACTTTTAAAATCTCATCGAAATGAGCTTGAGGAGAGCTGTACTCAGCCTCAGAGAACAAAGTGTCTTTAGATTCATCTTTCTCCTGCAGTGTCCTCTGGGAGTCTATGACGGTGTCAAACGTGTCCTCTTCGTGGGTCTGATTGTAATCCTCCAGCCCTGACTCATCCAGTTTATCATCGTCCACCTCCTTCATGTAGGCGTGGTACAGGTTGTGTCGGTCATCTTCATCATCATCTGGAGTTTCAGCATACAGCTGGTCAGAGCTGCCGTCCTGCTGCTGACCACTCTCAGAGCTGATGCCAGACATTGTGTTGTTGTCTGTGCCAGCAGCGGACACTCTGTCCAGTCCGATCATTAGAGCAGCATCACTGGAGGCTGTGGACTGGGCATCAGCATCACTGATGGCCTTCTCCAGGTCTTGTTCCCACTGCATGGGGGAGCCTGCAGACACAATGACAAATTGTTATTCACCTGTTATACAAAATCTTGCTCAAAGCTGAAATGATTTTTAAAAATTGGAAAATTCTAACCTAATTCTAAGCCTATTTTAAACTCAGTATTGTTTTTAAAAAGATTTTTGCAATTACAAGTATAATAGTTGTCCAATTTTAAAATCTGGCCTTTGAATTTTTGAATGTCTTTAAGATTAAAATAAAATTTCCTTTTCTCCTAGCTGAATAAGTAAAAAATAAATCAGTACAATGGAACTGAGTACAAGCCAGATAAAATATAATGTAAGTTAGGCTTTTGTCAGACTCACCTTCTTCAGGTTCTGGAGACTGCAAGTCACTCAGGCCCAGAATTCTGTTTAAACTTTCTTGGTCCTGGGATGCTATTAGAGTAAACTCTGAAGGTGATGGCGGCCTGTCATCTACCCCAGACACTATGATATTCCTTTCTGCATCCTCCTCTTCCTCATCACCCTCCTCTTCATCGTAGTCACCATCCCCATCCTCATCTCCCTGAAGGCTGTCCTTCTCAATGTCCGTGTCTCTCAGGACATGCAGTGTGTCCTGCTCCAGATGGTCAGAGGTCTCCATCACTGAGGTAGTGGCCAGCCCTTTGGTTCCTGAGCTCAGTCCTAAAGAGATGTTTAGCTTGGACTGGTCTTGTGAGGCAATCAGAGTGAACTCTGAGGGGGATGGGGGCCTGTCCAGCACACTCCTGCCCCCATCCTGCTCCTCATCACTGGAGGAATCATCTGCTGGATGTCTACCAGATACTTTATGCTCTATGAAAATTTGCTGGGAAATGTCAGCCGAGACCCTTCCCTCTGATTCATATTCCTCCTCCTCCTCTTCTTCGTACTCCGATCCTGTCATTGTGTACTCCGAGCCGGTCATGGTTTCACTCGGGGCGGTGAAGCCGGAGCTGCTCATGACATCACTGGGAGCTGAGCACCCTGAGCTGCTCATGATCTCACTCTGGGCTGTGTAGTATGAGCCAGTGCCTGTGGTCTCACTATGGGCATACTCGGTGTCACTCTGGGATGTGAATTCTGAGCCGGAGATACTAGAGGCCATAAATGTTTGCTTCTCCTGACTCCCTTGAGCTGATTTACCTTGTTGAGGGGAGGCTGCCTCAGGGCTCAGGTACTCTTCCTCAGCACTTTCTTCATCAAAGCCAGCCATCTGTTTCATCTGGGTTAACTTATTCTCCATTTCAGTTATTTCTTCCTCTAAATCACTGGGTGAGCCTGACCTATCTTGAACTTCTGTGGAAGAAGTTGCATAAAATGGAGATCTTGGAATCTTTAAGCCCATCTGCAGGTCATCACCTGGACCATCATCAGCTGGACGTTGGGTATCATCAGCTGGACGTTGGGTATCATCAACTGGACCCTGACCATCCTCCCCTCTAGCATGCTGCTGGCTGGGTGAGAAGTCATTCTCTACACGAGGTTCTACACCCTCGTCCTCTTCAAACTGTGATGTTTTAAACACCACACGTTTTTCTTTGTCTTTGTCACCAGAGTCTATGGCCTCTGGGAGAATCTCAATGAACCTCTCTGTCCTCTCTGTGAATGTTTCCTGAAGCTCAGCACCTTCCTCCTCAGTTTCAACCACTTCTTTGGTAAACTCCACAACCACGGCCCTGCTGGAGGTGATGTGGCATCTCTCTTCAACAACCACCTCGCTTCTTTTTTCTATCTGCACATCTTTGTCCAATTCAAAGTCTTCCTTGGATTCAATATGTTCATCTTTGTCCAATTCAAAGTCTTCCTTGGATTCAAGCTGTTCATCTTTCTTTGTGTTCAACTCTTTGTCTCTGGATTCAAAAGGGTGCTCACTTCTTTCCTCCACAGTAAATGCTTCTACTCTATCAACTGATACCATCAATTCATGAGCCTCTTCCGTGTCTTGCTCAGTCATGCTCTCTGTCAAATCAACTCTCTTTGAAGCTTCAACTGTGGTAACTTCATTCTCTATGATAGTTTCAACTCTGTCTATAGATGTTTCCATGACATCAGAAGTTGATTCAACACTCTCCTCCATCTGAGCCGTGGAATCTTCTCTTGGTTTCTCTTCAAACATGTTCTCATCATGTTCGTCTTCATATTGATCATCACCCATGTCATCTTCAGACATGACCTCACCTTGACCTTGTTGGTCCTCTAGTTCTTGCAGTTCTTCCATAAAGCCTGATGTGGCAGCGTGTACTAGGTGTTCTCCTGCAGATTCCAGTTCATCTTTGTGAGTGGTCTCATGTGTAATGCTGTCTTCTGCCTCATCTCCAGACCTCCTGGATGTCTCCACACTTGTATGTAAAGCCTCCTGTACTATAGCTTTACTCAGCTCAACTTCATATTCCTCCACTTGTTGGAGAGCACCTGAGCTGTACTCAGCTGATTCCTGGTCCCTCTCAACACCAGACTCAACAACCTCATCATCTACAGCATCCACAACATCAGCACCATCATCTACAGCAGCCACAAGATCAGCACCATCAACTACAGCATCCACAAGATCAGCACCATCAACTTTATCATCTTCTCTTTTCTTTTCTTCCTCCTGTTCAGGAGATAATACTGTGGTTTCCTGATAGACTTTAAAAGCTTTGTCTATATCTTCCACATATACCTCAACATTTTCTTCCCCAACCTTTGCATCTATGGGAATCACAACTTCCAGCTCATTCTCATATTTTTCAAAAGCTTTCTCCAAATCTTCCACATATACCTCAACATTTTCTTCCCCAACCTTTGCATCTATGGGAATTACAACTTCCGGTTCATTCTCATACTTTTCAAAAGCTTTCTCCAAATCTTCAAACTCTTCTTCCTGTTCAGCAGATTTTTCCTCATAGTCTTCCTCTCTTACCTCCTTTAGAGAAGGGGTGGTTGTCATGGAGTACTCCCCTTCCTCTGTTGATGGGGTCTCTTTGCTGTCCATTTCCTGGACATCAAGCATCATCAGGTCTCCTTCTTCTCTCTCCTTGAAATGGTCAAGCTCATCTTGCTTGTCTTCTGTCATTGAATCTGTCATTTCCTGGCTCTTTGTCAGGTCACTTTCTGATCTTTCAGTGATCTGTTCCAGTGAGGCTTCAGTGACAATCACCTTGAGTGTCTCATCTTTCAGGTCTGACTCCACATCCTCAGCTTCCTCCCCCTCCCCCTCATCCTCCTCCACTGACCTGTAGGATTGTGACATCAGAGCAGCAGTAAGCTGGTCCTGCTCACCCAGTTCCTGGTCTAGCTCATTCAGGTCTTTCTCCACATCATTGTCTAAATCTTCTTCAGGGGAAGATCCTATGGCTTTTTCTGAAATAGATTCAGATTCCTCCCCAGTGGTGAAATGTATATCTAAATTCTTCTCTGAAGGGGTTTTCACATCTGTGTCCTGAGGTTTATCAAACAAATCATCTGAAGTCACATCTTGTACTTTGGTTTCAACAATGCATACAGTTTCAATGTGTGTCTCTGTCTGTAAACTGGTGTATTCCAATTGCTCAGACTCAGAGAAACGCCTGACTTCCACCTCCACAGCAGTTCCCTCCATTTCATCCTTTGCCTGCTCAACGATACCATCATCAACTTTACCAGTCATGAACCCAGCATCTTCATCTGCCACACGCACTACCTCCATATCAAACATTTGGTACCCGCTGGCAGACACCTCTGATTCTTCCTTTTGTTGGTAGTCCTCTTTCACTTCATCATACTTCTCTTCAACATACTCTTCCTCATATTTCACCTCAGAGAAAACAGATGACTTTTCTTCATGTTTAACTTGTGTTTCTTCATATTCTTTTTTCTCAATAACCCTCTGATGTTCTATTTCTTTTTCTTCATATTCACTTTGCTCTTTTTCAACAATATCCTCTTCATATTCTCTTTGCTCTTTTTCAACAATATCTTCCTCTTCGCATTCTCTTTGCTCTTTTTCAACAATATCTTCCTCTTCGTATTCTCTTTGCTCTTTTTCAACAATGTCTTCCTCTTCATATTCCCTTTCGACATGCTCAAGATCTTTCTCTTTTCTATATTCCTCTTCATATTCCTTGTCTTGCTCTTCAATCTCTTTCTCTTCGGCTTGCCTTTGTTCATCTTCTACAAGTTTCTCATCGTATTCTCTCTCTTCCACTTCAGTATCTTTCTCTTCATACTCTCTCTCTTCCAATTCAGTATCTTTCTCTTCGTATTCTCTTTCTTCCACTTCAGTATCTTTCTCTTCGTATTCTCTCTCTTCCACTTCAGTATCTTTCTCTTCGTATTCTCTCTCTTCCAATTCAGTATCTTTCTCTTCATATTCCCTTTCTCCTACTTCAATATCTTTCTCTTCATATTCCCTTTCTCCTACTTCAATATCTTTCTCTTCATATTCCCTTTCTCCCACTTCAGTATCTTTCTCTTCATATTCCCTTTGTTCCTCTTCTACTTCTGGCTGTACATATTCAGCTTCCTCTTCAAAAGTCCCTCCACTGATGACCTTATCCACCTGTCCCTCTTGAGGCTCCTCCAGCACCTGCCTGACTGTGCCCTGCTCATGAGACAGCAGCAGCGCGGTCTCAGTGATCTCATCTAATGTCATCTCATCCCTGTCCAGCAGCTCCCACTCCTTGTCTGTTGATTCTTCCAAATTCTTGTCAGTTTCTGCTGGTTCCTTAGGTGCCTCTTCATCACTATGATCACAGGGAATATCCTCTGCCTCTGTGTATGTTATTTCAGGGTTGTTTGAATAATGCTGTTGTTGAGCTTTTTCCATTTCTTTCTGTATAGCTCTTTCAGTTTCTTCAAACTCAGTCAACTCCTCTTCCACAGCATCTGGGTCCTCTTCTCTCATGGCCCCCAGCTGGGTGTCTGACCCATCAACCAGGTCTTCATACTTCACTTCATCTTTTACTATTTCTTTTATTTCCTCATCTTCCTCTTCGTCTGGTAGAGTGGAGATGTGTACTTCATCTTTTGTTTTTTTCAATAACATACCCACAGAGTCTATGTCATCAACATCATGTTGGGCTTCTTCAAGACTATGTAGATCTTCCTCATGTTCAGCTTCCTCATGTTCAGTCTTCTCATGATCACGTTCAGCTTCCTCAAGTTCAGCTTCCTCATGTTTATCTTCAGCTTCCTCAAGTTCATGTTCAGTTTCCTCAAGTTCATATTGAGCTTTCTCAAGATCATGTTCAGCTTCCTCAAGTTCATGTTCCGATTTCTCATGTTCAGCCTCCTCAAGTTCATCTTCAGCTTCCTCAAGTTCATGTTCAGCTTTCTCATGTTCAGCCTCTTCAACATCATGTGCAGCTTCCTTGATTTCATGCTGAGCATCCTTAACATAATGTTCAACTTCCTCAAGATCATGTACAAAATCCTGCTCAGCTTCCTCAACAAGATCCTGCTCAGCCTGATGGTCCTCACCCAAAGTTTGAGTTGTGTGTACTTTAGCATGGAGTCCATGAGACTTGGTAGCACTAATGGTCTCATCTTCTTGAATTTCTTGCTCCTCTTCATCAGGCAGACTGACAATAGCAGCCGTCGCACCAAGCACTTCTTGCTTCATGACAACTTCTTCAGACACACTGCTGCCTTCTACTTCATAGTCCTCTTCAGGTAGATCTGTTGCCTCATGCTGTGTTTTGGTGATCTGAACAGAGGTCATAGTTTCCTCAACAGTGAACTGTGACGTCTGCTGTAAGAAATGTGTTTCATGTTCCGTGTACTGGGTTGCTTCATACTTCTCTCTTTCCTCCACCTCGCTCACATCACTGCCTGCTGTTGCTGCCACACTCACTACCTCTTCATCTATCTTTTTCTCTGAAACATCTGCATCCTCTTCGCTCATAAAGTCATCCTCCCTCCTTTCGTCTAAATCAACCACAAGTTCAGGCTCAATATTTTCTTTGTTGTCTACATCTTCTGCACTGAGTACAAAAGATTCATCATAACTCTCTCCTTCAATTTCTGTGCTAATAATGTGAGCAGATTCAACTATTTCTGTAAAGGTATGCTGGGCAGTAAATTTTTCTTCTGAAAAAGCGTAATGCTCTTCTACCTGCTCCTGGTACTCTTGCGCTGCAACAAAATCATCTTCTTTGCTTTCTTCCACATCAGGAGTTTCCACAGAGTCTAAATACTCTTCAGAATCAGACTTCTCATCCCATTTGTCATCTTCAGACTCCTTCAAAGCTGGAGTTTTTTCACTGTCCTGCAACAGACCTTCAGTACATTCTGACAGAGTTTCTCCCAGTGTGGTGTGGACGTCCAGCTCTGGTTTAAGTGTGTTGTCTGGGTACAGCTCAAAGTCATGCTGACTCTCCAGAGACTCAACCATCTCACTTTTGATTTCTGAGAAGTCTTGAGTCGTTTCACTGGCGTCTTCTGTGATCTCACTCCGGAACTCCTCTCTCAACATGTCTTGTTCATGTGAGATTTCCATCTTTTGTTCAGAGTATTCTTCTCTGCTGGAGTGAACATGGCTTTCAGATGTTAGTTCATATTTCTGCTCCATTTTAGCAACAACTCTTTCAATAGTTTCAATACGGTCCCTGACCAGTTCTTTAGTTAAAGGGTCAACCAAGGTAGCATATTTGATGTCTGTTATTGGAGATTCTGCCTCCATTTTTTCAACAGTTGGAGTTTTTTCATCATCTTCATAGGCAGCCTGAGCATCATCAGGGTACTCTAGTGATGAAGGTTTTGTTGGGATTTGTTCAGAAGGTTTTGTTGGGATTTGTTCAGAAGGTTTTGTTGGGATTTGTTCAGAAGGTTTTGTTGGGATTTGTTCAGAAGGTTTTGTTGGGATTTGTTCAGAAGGTTTTGTTGGGATTTGTTCAGAAGGTTCTCTTGGGATTTGTTCCACAGGCCTGATATCTTCAGTCTCCATGACCTCAATCTCCTCTGTGTGAGCCACTTCCAGTGGCAGGATCTTCTCCACAGCAGTCACATCATCAACAGGCTCCAGCTCTTCAACCCTCTCCTCCCTCTCAAGCACCTCCTGCATGTACTCGTCCACCTTGGTCACCACTTCAGCCACATCCACAGCCACTTCATCATGAACCTCCAGGTGACCCTCCGCAACAGGGGCCACCATTGTCCTGACATCCAACACAGGGGAGACCCTTGAGAACTCCTCTGCCCCAACAACTTCAGCTTGCTGCACATCAACTTGTTCCAGGGCCAGAGTTTCCTCCACAACAGCTGCATGCTCAGAACTTTCTTCAACAACATCTGCTGTAAAGATGTGAGCAGCTTGTTGAGCAACTCTCTGAGCTGAAGCTAGCTGTTCCCTCACTTCCTCCTCCTCTTCTTCCTTCTGTCCATCCTCACCAAATCTATGTTTATGCTGAGGTTTATCTGTAGTGCCCAGGCCAGTCCAAAAGAAGCATTAAAAAAAAAGAAGGAGAGAGGACCAGTGTATTAGTTCAAAACAAGGAACTGGAGAGAGAAGAAACAAATTCCTTACAGACGGTCAAGCTTTAAGAAACAGTGGACACACATACATATGGCTACCCAATATACGGTCATATTCAGCCATTAATGCTTTTTATTCTATTATATTAGTTGCTGATAATATTGAAATGCATGCCCCAGATATCACATGTATAAATGTCAAATTAATACAACTGGATTAGGTTAGTAAATTAGTGTTAGTTGTATATGAATAAAGAGAAATTCCTATCAAGTGTTTTTATTAAATAACTAGCAGCAAAAACAAAACATAATCAAATACTCCTACACAAATTATGTCTGTGTTACAACTATCTAAAACAGCTGACACAACAAACCACATTACATCTATCTCCACAAGTGATAACACTGCCCATATAAACTTTGATCAAGTCTAGTCTTTGCTGGATACAACACAAGAAAATCTTTTTTTTTTTTTTTTTTTTTTTTTTGTATGGAGAAAATTGTATAATACTTGAATGATATTTGTCTTGATAAAACTGATTTATGTCTTAGGATTTCTATCTGCTCAGTTTTTCCTAGTCTTGTAGACTGAGTAGTGTGAGTTAAAATCTGGATCTCTAAGAAAGATGGTAAATTGATAACAAGTAATGTGTGACCATCTTTAGACAATGGTATATTGATGACAGTTAATGTGTTACCATCTGGACTAATGGTATATTGATAACAAGTAATGTGTGACCATCAGAAACGAAAATCTACAGCATGTGTATGATCTGCTATAGATATTAAACAACACATGTTAGAATTAAATACTCTCTTAAACAACAGAAATACATGTCCAAGCTAAATACAAACAAAACAAAAATAGACAATAAATATAAACACACAGACTTTCTTTACAGTATCAGCAAATATCAAGTGTTAAAAAATATTTGTCATCCATTCATTATTTTGTAAATATAAGTAAGAAAAAATGTTACCTGTGGCAGCACTGAAAGGGAATGAATTGATAAAAATGTAGCACGACTAAATGGATAAAAAAATGTTACCTGCTTCCTTGTGAGCATGGGGTGGCAAGAAGAAGCATGCAACAACTAGAGGCTGCTGATGGTGAACACAGGGGCCACTCAAACCAAAAGCACCACTGGCTGACTAAAACACTGCAAAAGCTCATCACAACAAACACCAGGGGTGCCAGATAGAAAAAAATTGTACAAATAAAAGTGATCTGGCAGCTTGGATTTAACTCTGCCATGTAATGCAGAAATTTGAACCATACATGGTTCTTTGAAACAAATAAGTACGGCCAGATCACTTTACAAATGACACATATTCAAATAAACATAGCTGCAAGAGAATCAAGTGGATAAAATAAAGTATTTACAAAACATAGACGAAAAATGAATAAACTCTGTTTTCCTTTTCAAACGAAAGAAAGGAAAGATAAATAGATGCATAATGAAAAGCTAAAAAATAATTAAATGCAATTTAAAAAGAGAGAAGACATTTAGTTTTAATTAAAACTTCTGAAAAAAAATGAAGGTAGCAACACCAAAATAATTAATGCACAAATTAATTATGCTTTGTGGGGAAAAAAAAGAAAAGTGATGATAAAAATGGTTTTATTTATAAAATAAAAATTATTATCTTTCACTGTTGTCAAAAAACTTGACTTAATATTCTGATAATCTGGATGCTCTCACATATAATACTAAGTGTACAAGAAATCAACACAACATATTTAAACATTCATACACTGTTGCTACTGAAATATGTGGCACATCATAGTTTTTGTAAGATAAAAATATTGTGCTTCACTACATCAATGCACACCTAACCTATTGCTTTTAAAAAGTCATTCCTTAAATTATATTTAAACTGAATAATGTTCAAATGTTGCTTCTATAAATCAAAATACATTTTAAAAGCAATATTTTTCTTAATAAATCAATTTTAAAATATATTAATTATTTAAAAATCAATTAACAACAAAATGAATTATTAGGCTCTGCTTTAACATTGAATATTCCTCAAACAATTTGTACTCTTATTATTTAATATTTATTACTCAACTCCATATAATTATTCTACTGAAATATTTTTTCAGGATAAATGTACACCAAACACAAACCATGTTGCCTAATTGTTCTGTAATATCAAATATGAGACAACACATACTAATGAAAACAATACTAATGAAAAGAATGAGACTCTAATGAAAGAAGGGTCACACAGATAAACACTGATGAAGTACCTTCAAGATTAGAACCAACAGCTCCGGCGCTGGCTAGTAGTGAAGAAGAAGAATGGAAATAATTAAACAATACAATCTAGAGCATCTATAGATCCAAGTTAACCTGCGGACAAGTCTTAAATCAGCGCTGAAATACAATCTCATATAACTTGTTCTGAAATACAATCTCATATTTTTTGTTCTGAAATACAATCTCATATAGTTTGTTCTGAAATACAATCTTTGTTCTGAAATACAATCTCATTTAGTTTGTTCTGAAATACAATCTTATAAAATTTCTTCTTAAATACAATCTCATAAAGTTTCTTCTGAAATACAATCTCAAACAATTTGTCCTGAAATGCAAACAAAATCACAAACAAATACAAAGTTATCAAAGCTAATGATACTAAATTCTTTATAGTGCTGTTACTGAAAAAAAAACCATTAGGTTTATTCATGTAGTCAAATAAAAACATAAAATTATTTTTCTGAAGTCACATCTGTTTTTAATTAAAGTTTATTTAACTATTTTTATTGGCTTAATTGGGATTTTGGTTTGATAATGAATATACATAGTTAGGCAAGGCATTGTAAAATAATAATTAAGTTTCATGTTATGAAATAAATAATTATCCATGCAGATTATGAAGAAAAAGTCATAAAGAAAAATATTATCATGCACTAGGCCTAAGTGTTATCACTCAACTAGCTGATATTATAAACATTATTTTTTTGTTAGTTAACTACAGATAGGTTGTATAAATTATGTTAATGAGTTTCAAAATTCTATTTCCTACCAGTCTACATTCAGCGAGAGAGCCAGACAAGGGTGATAGTAGAAAAAAAATCCTTGGTTAAAACAACAGATAGATCTTCAAAAGTAACAACATATTCATGTCTCATCCATGAGAAAACCGAACTGGTTAGCAAAGACTGGGTCTACTTGGATTAGAAGAGTTTACTTGGTAGAAACCAAACTGGTTAGCAAAAGTTGGATTAGAAGAGTTCACTTGGATTAGAAGAGTTGACTTGTTGGTAGAAAACCATGCAATGTATACGCCCACCTGAGGGGTCACCACCATAATAGGTGACCTTAGTAACATGCCGTTTAGCAAAGCCTGGGTCATCCAATTCCCGCCATTCTGAAGAATAGGTCAGGCACTTAAAGCATTAGATCGTATGCAAGTAGGGTTCTGTTAAGCATTTGTTAAATACTTTCATGGGAAGGTTAGATTTTAGCTTTTTAAACCAAAGTATGAATTGAATTTTTTAACTGCATTATTGAAGCTATTTGATTTAATGTGTGGGACACAAGTTTAAAGATAATATTTTACATCCAGGAGCAAGAGATAAGCAGGATATATTTAAGATGGCTAGAAGATAAGCAGTTATGTCTTTTTACAATGATAATAAGATAGCATTTAAACTTTTTTCAAAGTACAATACATTTCAAGAAATAAATGAGTTGCGCAGCATGCAAATATTCTAGCTAGACATTCTACATTTAGCTTTCCAGCAAGACACTTCTAGGTCTAGTTTTCTATCTATAGACACATCTAGATGGATTTTCTATCTAGACACTTCTAAAAATAGTTTTGTTCCTGCATGTCTCAAACTGTTTTGAACACAGACAGAGGTGTTTCCAAGAATTCAGGCAGAATACGCCGTATGTTTTGTATGTTTTGTCCATACGTGACAGCACTACATAGAGGCTGAATGCCAACACTAAACTATTGCAGTAGCTACAGGTAGCCTAGTGTCACATGCTACAGGTAGCCTACAAGTTTTGTCACAAGTTGAAATTAATTGATTTTGGAATTCAGAAATGCAATGTACCATAATTTAAGTTCACAATGAAGTTTTAATTTCAATTCAAAATAAGTGAGTAATTTTAAGGAATTTAAAAAAAATATTAAGTAGGGGACAAAGGAAGAATAACATTCAGGAAGCAAAAATAAAATAATGAAATGCGAGGGAAAAAAATAAAAAGACAGTAGAATAAATAGCTTTTGTAAAAACCAATAGAAGGACAAAACTAGAATACTGGTGGAATTTGTACTTTATCTTTAAAAGCCTGCATGCACAACTAAAAATTTTAAGCCAAAACTGGGATCAAAAAGGTTCAATAATGAAGTTTCTATAAGAAGCTGGGAGAAAAAAGACAAAAGCCACAAGAAAAAACTCCTGCCACAGGGCAGCGTTGTGGTCGCTGCTGTACATGCAGTCCCTGCATTCCCCTACTCAACAAAACAAAAACCCACTAGTATCTTTACCTTCCTCATCATCGCCATCATTATCTATATGCAGGTCAGTGGACAGGTAATCCTCCTGGCCTGAGCTCAATGCTGGCCTCTCCTCCTGCGTCAGGGCTCCGGTGGCAATCATGTCCTCCACCACCTCCAGCGTGCGCTCCACCGTCCTGTCCTGCAGAGATTCTTCCAAGTGAGATGTCTTGGTGGTTGTCTTCACGGCCTGCTTGCCTGTGATGTCATACGGGTCAGCGTCCACTGGAGAGCGGGGTCTGGGACTGGGGGTAATCCTCTCCTCTTCAATCCTCGTGTCTGATGAGGTTTCATCTATTGACCCAGATCGAGATCGAACCTTCCTGGATTTTTCTGCAGTCAAAAATTTACTTTGGACAATGGTACCATCATCTAACACTTGTGTTTTCTCTTCTATGTTCCGTACTTCATGGCCAGATTTCTCTGCGTAATCATAATCATCAGAATCTGAGCTGGAAACATTAGCCAAAAAAGCTGATTCAGTTCCAGGGATGATTTCATCAATCTCATAATCCTCCACCTGCCTGCCATGGTCTGAGTCAAAAGATTCCTGGTGTGTCCTGATGCGGTGTACCATTCTGTTCATTAAAATTTTTCTATGTACTTTAGTGCCATCATCCAGGACTTCATCAACCTCTTCCTCTTCATGGACCATGCGAGGAGGCTCATCAAACGTCTCCACAACCTCCTCCCTCACACTCCCGGGGATCTCCTCCTTCTCCTCGCTAATCTCTTGCTCCCCATCCTGAGATTTTAAACTCTTCTTGATTTTCTTGAAAGAATGTCTGCGCACTTTGTGTGTGGTGTGGATGGTCCCATCAGGCATGATCTCCTCGTGGTCCTCTACCTCAGTCTCCTCCCTCGGGGGCGTCTCCTCACTCACTAGCTCCATGCCTGTAGCTTCTCCCCCTGTGGTAGAACGGATGTAGCGGTGGCGCACAATGGTACCGTCGTCCTTGACCTCCTCGTAGTATAGTTCCCCTGGGGCTACGCTATCATCAAGGACTGTTAAAGAACAAAAAGGGGCTTACAAAATCAAAAATTCATTGCATAAAATGATAATTTTGGACTACAGGTCATTTAAAGTGAAGCATTAATGTACAGCCCAACTCCTCCCATTTAAAGTGAAGCATTAATGGACACAAGTCCTACGTTAGCTACAGCTCAACTGAGTAGATAAAGCAAATGGTAAGTTCTTGTGATTGGCAAATAACAGCGCTGGTTGGTAGAGTCCTATCATTACATACAGTGTTACAATACAGCTCAGCTTAACAGTAGAGAGAACAGGAAACAAAATCACAACTTTGATACACTGACAACTTCCTTAATGATGACAACACACTAGTTAACAAGGTTTGGTGTACATATTTTTTACACTTAAAATATTAAAGATATTTATTAGGACATTATGTCATCAATTTTAAGGTAAAATAAAAACAGTTTAAAACATGACGATGTTTGTGAGCTTTAGGAAAATTAATGGATCAGGAGAAAATTGTTTAAATACAGAGAATCTAGGTGGCAGCCATAATATCAGGTTAGTTTTACCACTCTAAACTCAAATAGCAGATTGTGTAACACAATGATGTGTCCCAAAGCAGATTTATGGCAGACACATAAAACTCCTCTAGATGGAGTTGCAGATTGTTGTAAGAAGTACGGTCAAACAATACATCCCCCCCCCACTGGTGGGAATCCTGGAGACGTCCACAACTAACATGAATATATAGACAGCTGGTCTAAACACACTAGCATTACACTTATACACTAGGCTCCTAACACTATACGTTCAACTGAACACTAACTGTCATTACACTAACACGTCCAATAGAACACAATCTGTAATTACACTAAGACGTCCAAGTGAACACAGCAACCAACAAGTGTGAACCCAACAAACTGATAGCCAGGCTGAAGTTGTGTTGACATGTGTTTGTGATGGACGTGGCGACAACACGTGTTGCTGGGGATTAGCTAACATGCGTGTGTGTGTGTGTGTGTGTGTGAGCAGAGCTGAGGTCGCACGTGTACACACGGCTACACCACAAACCAAATGTTGGCCAACTAAATGGGCCGATTCACAATAGACGCAAGTTTCTCACGCTATTTTTAGCACTGGGTCATCTGTCAGCTCAGTCCCATGTTATTAAAATACAATTAGCGACAATACATTTTTTTTAGTCCATAGTTTGTTGCAGCCTATTTAGATGTGCTTCAAACATACTGCTTTGATCAATGTAGGCCTATAACCCAATAGTATCTGGATGTAATGAGAACGATGTAACACTGGGTATTGCTTCCATCTGTGTGGCCTGCACGGGACAGAAGGGTTGACCAGTCATTAGACACTGCCATACACAACTCACTAAGTAAGGACATGTGTTGATGTAGGTATGTTTTCAAGGTTAGATCCCCACATAATCTGACGATAGTAGTCGTGGGATAAAACACTTTAATCGTTGGCCTAGCTTGACGCTACAGTTTTGTTCACGCGAGCTGAATAAACACAACAAAAGTAAACAGCCGAGGTAGAAAGAAATTGTGCAGCCAACATCCGATAGTATCAAGACAATCCTCGGAAGTATCGATAGATAGATCACACTGGGATAGGTTCTCTAGACACAACAGTCTTACCGTCCAGGTGACAAACAACTGTCAATATATTGACAGGAGGTGGGGGGGGGGGGGTCAGCTAAGCTTCTTTCCTGGCTTAAGGTGTACTCGCCTACAACACATCAAGTCGTCTGTACCTCATACAACACATTAAGTCGTCTGTACCACCCACAACACATCAAGTCGCCTGTACCGCCTACAACACATCAAGTCGTCTGTACCACCCACAACACATCAAGTCGCCTGTACCGCCTACAACACATCAAGTCGTCTGTACCTCATACAACACATTAAGTCGTCTGTACCACCCACAACACATCAAGTCGCCTGTACCGCCTACAACACATCAAGTCAAGTCGTCTGTACCGCCTACAACACATATCAAGTCGTCTGTACCGCCTACAACACATCAAGTCGTCTGTACCGCCTACAACACACATCTAGTCGTCTGTACCGCCTACAACACATCAAGTCGCCTGTACCGCCTACAACACATATCAAGTCGTCTGTACCGCCTACAACACATATCAAGTCGTCTGTACCGCCCACAACACATATCAAGTCGCCTGTACCGCCCACAACACATATCAAGTCCTCTGTACCGCCCACAACACATATCAAGTCGCCTGTACCGCCCACAACACATATCAAGTCGCCTGTACCGCCCACAACACATATCAAGTCGTCTGTACCGCCTACAACACATCAAGTCGTCTGTACCGCCTACAACACATATCAAGTCGTCTGTACCGCCTACAACACATATCAAGTCGCCTGTACCGCCCACAACACATATCAAGTCGTCTGTACCGCCTACAACATATCAAGTCGTCTGTACCGCCCACAACACATATCAAGTTGTCTGTACCGCCTACAACACATCAAGTCGTCTGTACCGCCTACAACACACATCAAGTCGTCTGTACCGCCTACAACACACATCAAGTCGTCTGTACCGCCTACAACATATCAAGTCGTCTGTACCGCCTACAACACATCTATTCGTCTATACCGCCTACAACACATCTAGTCGTCTATACCGCCTACAACACACCTAGCCGCCTGTACCGCCTACAACACATTTAGTCGTCTTTAAGTTCCCCGTGTTTCTCTACCTGCTTGATTGACCACGTCTAAACGATGTCCACTCTAGGTATAAATGAGTCACCAACTCTCTCACTTCTAACATGCACAGAATGCAGACGTGTACTTTCGGGTGTCAGTTGTAAGCTTCCATGTGAGTGCGAACAAGACCTTGTATCGTTAGTTCGTATGGCTTCAAGTAATGAAGAATCATTAAGTCCCACAGTTGCTTGCTGGTGTTAATGAGATGGTTAATGAGAACAGGAGACCGGTAGAGACAACAGGTGAACTTACCGGGATGTGTACACTAGTCAAACAACTGCTAGGTACTGGTGATGGCTGACTTATCTAGTGCTAACATTCAAAGTATAACACCGATATACTTACGAAATACACACTACATATATATGTGCACGTCCACAAATGAAAATAATTGTAGCACAGCAGATCACTTTACATACATACATACTTCAACAAAGTCTGTATATGAAAAGTATGCGAGAGATCTACTAAAAATCAATAATATTGATTTCACACGCGTTAAGCATATACAAAGCTTTCGGTCGTCCCATTATGTGTTGAAATACAACACCCTACCTCACATATAGGCCTACATTTCAACCTTTGTTTAGACGGCGCTTCATTCCACCCGTTTCACATGTGCCATATCAGACGAGCGGCCGTCAACAGACTAGCACCGCAGACAGCTGACAAGCCACAACATAACAGACAAACGACCACAACATCAGACAAGCGGCTGTCAACATTAAGCACCACCGTAGACAGTACAACACGCCACCGCAACATATCAGACAAGCGGCCGTCAACATGTCAATATAAACAAAGACCAACATATTAGACAAGCGGCTGTCAACATGACATAGACCAGCACTGTAAACAGCTAACAACACAACACCCTCTATAAATTCCCTACCCCTACAACACAAATCATTGAGCGTGGACCCCCAGGATTGCACCAGTTACAGACCCTTCAATCACAACACTATTGAAATCATAGCTCAGTACCGTCCTGCTGACTGGCTGCTATAGAGTCGCGTCATAAAACACGGATTAATCTCTTGGACTAATTGTTAACCATAAAAACACGATATCACAACCCTCGCTTGTAGCGTCGCGTTAACTAGCGGGCATTCAATGGTGTTATAAACACTAGAATTACTCTTTAGACTTAATTTTCTGCACTAATGAGCCATTTAATGCTTGTTTTAATTAACTGAGCAACATGTGTAAAAACGTCAACAATAACTCTTACAGGAAAGTACTAAATTAGCATCCTTGTTTAGCTATTGACCTTAGTTTCAGTTTTTTAAAAATAAAGGATAAACTGGTATAAAGAATACACAGAAGAATACAAGAAGTTCAATATATATAAATAAGAGCTGATAGCTTTATATCCAGTGCTTTCTCCACAGCTTCTAAAACTGTATTGACATAAATAGCTAGAGTTGATCTAGTGAAAACACCTCAAGACCTTGGTATAAACCACACATGTTGGGCGGCAAGGTTGTGAGACATGCAAGAACAGCAGTTGTGCCTTCAGTCAACATTGTACAGCCTTATCATCAAACCTTTAGCATACAACAGTTACAGAAATAATTTCCTAATTCAATTATGTACAAGTACAAATCTTGATTAAATATTAAACATATGCAGTGTTTTTGTTACATATACTCCACTCATGTCAGTTCACAATGCAGGTCAACTTACCAATGCAGGGTCAAGGGGTTAAAGGTTATAGTGCTATTCTATAGTAAGCAAACTGAAGAGAACCATGTGAACCAAAAGAAGCGAAGCAAAGAAAAACTGTGCAGACATACATAGTGCAAGACACAGACTGGACTACTGGCACTAAACTCAAGCCAAATATAATGGAGACCAAAGAAAGGTGGCAAGTACCTTCAAGGCTTCTCTCAGCGGCACTGCTGAACCCACTGGGCAGGATGGGAACTTGGAAGCTGAAGGCTTGCTCTGGTGTCTGCTGGCGAGACAGGGTCTGCCTCTGTGGCTGTTCCAGCTCTTCCTCGAACCTGTCCACAAACTCTTCATCTCCCAGCGAGGCGTTAAGCTCGGTACTGAGCGTGCCTGGTCGCTCAACTAGGACAGAGGAGCCAATCTCAGGCCCACTGCCTGAAAAGAATGCTGAGTCATAAGTCGGGGCTTCAAGCTTACCAGTGGCCTTCACATCTAATGTGCCGCTAAGGCCAGCTGCAGAATCTACAGCAGAATCTAATTCATCCAGACCAGTGCTTTCAACTCCATACTGGATTTGTTGTTCATCAAAGTCTTCTTTTTGTTCATCAAGATATTCCTGCTGTTGTTCATCAAAATATTCCTGCTGTTGCTCATCAACATACTCCTGCTGTTGCTCACCAAGATACTCCTGTTGTTCAACCTCTTCACTATAATTTGATGTGTCCTTGATGTTGATTTCTTCCTCATATCTCAACTCCTCTTCCCTCTGAGAGTCACTGACTCTACCAGATCTCTTGCCGCTGTTATCAAAAGATTGTTCCGGAGTGGCATACACGTCCCCTTCAGAAGATATGTCCACCGTAGGTTTGTCCTCAAAACTATCCCCCCTGTACTCCTCAAAACTGACTTTCTCATAAGACAGCTCTTGGTCGTCATCATCCATCTTCTCATACGCCATCTCATCAGCTCTGAAATCTTCCGGCAGTGTTGGCTCTGGGACTGGCGATGGCTCCTCGTGGTAGTACATCCCATCTTCAGACACAGGACTCACCATGTCGCTGGATGTCTGCGAGACGACCAGCCTGGTGTCCTGGTGTAGAGTGGACGTCTGCTCCGTGAACTCCGCCCTGGAGTACATGACCTCCTGCTCTGCCCTGGAGTACATGACCTCCTGCTCTGCCCTGGAGTACATGACCTCCTGCTCTGCTCTGGCGTACACATAACCTTTGCTTTCTGAAATTTGTACACAATTTCATTGCGAATGCTCGAAGGTGCATTAACACAAGAAAAAACAACTGCATATTGCAATGTTAAGTGAAAAAACTAAACTCCCTTCAACAGCCCTTGAATAGAACAAAAAACAAAGTTTTCTCTGTGAGTGCAACATAACATGCTATTCAAAAACAAAATTAAGAGCAGTCTACTAGTAATTAAAGGTTATGTGATTAAGTTTTATATTCTGATTAGTATGTCATTTAGTGATTAAAAAGTGTAAAATAAAAAGCAGTTTTGTGTAGTAAGTATGCCAGCAACCAGACAGGCAATACAGTGAGGTAAGCTTCAACCAATCTATGTTTTGAGGAAAATAAAACTCTACTTGTATGTGTGGGTGTTTTAAAAATCTACATTTTCAGCATACCAAGTATACATTTCATAAAATTAGATTTGATATATGTTGATGTTCTATGTTTCATCACTCAAATATGTACTTGAATTGTATAGACAAGAAAGAAAAGTTCACTGATTTTATTTGAAATACAATCAAATGCAAGTCCATTTGAAAAAAAAATTCATGCTGATTATATTTTAGAAGTAAAAACAAAAGATTAGCACTTTATTGGAGAGTAGTAAAAATAAACTACTAAATGTATACAATTAATTTCACTTATACAATTAGTAACAAAAATAGTTTTCATTTTTCATTTACATGACTAAAATTCTGTGATTTCTAATAGTGATAAAAAGAGGATGTTGGTCTGTTCATGTGGACATTTGTTGTAAAAAAAATGCAATCTTGAAGCTTTGCACTGTGAACTGAAGTTAGAATAACATATGCAATCTTGAAGCTATCATGCACATAAATGTGCATTCCAAACAGAACATGCATTACATTCAGACAATCAAACTTAAATGGTATATTACTAAAAAAAAGTCTGATTGTAAAGATTCAATGAGAAAGGTTTAGCAAGATATTTTCCTCTCTAAAATAAGTAAACACAGCAAACTGTTGATTTAAGTTCAAATTTTTTTTTTATTTGAATTAAAACTCTACATTAGGCACAATAAAAAAAATTCTCAATAATTAATACACATTTGACAATTACGGTACATAATACATTGCTTAACAGTAGATCATAAACTATACCATACACGTAGTACAATAAGCAAAATGTAAGCATTCTTTGCCTGATGTGTTGTAAATTAAGTAGCTTGTTCACTTATGGTGCATATGGTGGTGTTGTAAATTAAGTAGCTTGTTCACTTATGGTGCATATGGTGGTGTTGTAAATTAAGTAGCTTGTTCACTTATGGTGCATATGGTGGTGTTGTAAATTAAGTAGCTTGTTCACTTATGGTGCATATGGTGGTGTTGTAAATTAAGTAGCTTGTTCACTTATGGTGCATATGTTGGTGTTGTAAACAACCTTTATGTTTAATATCCGATACAAATGTTCTGTAAATATTACAGAAAAATGTGTTTTATGGATACAAAGTGGGGTAAAAAAACAAAGCATAATGCAAAGGTTTAAAGTATTAAAGTGCAGGCTAGAAATATCATGGTACATTTGGAGAAGAAAGCACTGGATATTTTAAAGCTAATACTTTATATATTGTGGGTTAAACTGAGTTGCTCTACATATTAATCCTTACACTATGTTGTACACTATGTTGTTAAAATCTTTTTTAAAATTGTTACAAAAATATGATAACACAGCAATCAGTTTAGACTAGTCTGAAGCAGTCGGATCATAGTTGGAATACTGCTTGTTAGGTTGATTTAAAAAAAGCTATGCTTTCTGTAATTATCTGCGGTAAGATGTACTTGTTTTTAATCAACACTTGCAGAACCAAAGCTATGACATGGGTGTTTTTATAATTAGTAACCTAATTAGAAAAATATGGTTAGTAACTTGAAATATAAAGAAATTTAAGAGAACTACTATATTTTAGTACATAAAAAATAAACCCAAAGAATAAATAAATTTAAAAGATAAATTTTAAAATATTAACTTTAAAAAACGTTAAATTTGAGAAATTTTGACTTAAAAAAAAACACTATAAAGATTAGAAACTACCAATGTGTTTTTATTGAAGCATAAAATATGTATTTGCCAATCACCTAACTAAAGCTGTATCTCCTCTAGTCTATACAATAAAGCATTGCTAAATCAGACGGAGACACTGGCACAAAGACAACTAAACACCAAAGCAGAGTACATATAACACGTAAGTTTATCAAAAGCTAAATAAGACTGCTCTCAAGATACTCATGAATAGCCCAGGACAACTAATTCACTTTAAATACTTGTCATAATATAATGACCTCCAATTCCCATTCACATAAATACTCTTGTTTATAGCTTACAATTATTTGAAATTAGCTAGTCAGGATTACATGTATAAATAGTTATTCTATATATATATATATATATATATATATATATATATATATATATATATATATATATATATATATATATATATATATATATATATATATATATAATATATTGCACAGAAATAAAGTATTCACTCCATCCTAATGCAATATATCTGATAGTAGAGTAGGTGTGGACAATGGAAAATGAATAACAGCAAAGAACAAACAAAAATAAAACAATGCAGTAGCAGATTGAGAAAAGAAAGTGAAATGAACTTCATGCAATCATACAGTCTTGATATCCAACAGTTTAGTCGATAGGCCAGCTCTATGCTTTAATCCATTTATAACATAGGAGCAATTTTATACTGTATTCCATTTATAACATAGAAGCAGTTTTATGCTTTATTCCATTTCTAATTAAAAACTGTATCACCATCAGGATACAATAGAGGAACAAACTTTTCATTCGCTTAGCTATAGGTAAATCATCAAAATATTCTCTTTACTTTGGTTTCATTACTTTTTTGTCAACCGAAAAAAAAAACATTTTTGTGTGTTGCAAATTTTCTTCATAAAAAGTCTTAAGAAAAAAAACCCAGAAATTGCTCATATAAAATGTAACTAAAGTGAATTTAAAAAAAAAACAGAAAAGAAAGGCCAAGTTGTACATGCCAACAATTGGTAGAAACTGCCAGACTAAAACTGTCAACATTTAGAAGAATAATATTGCATCTACACACCGGAATCGTTTTCATCAGCTGCCTCGTGTGCTAGTCTTGTTGCTGCCTCCGCAATACTGTTCTCCGCTGCAAGCACGGGTTCTTCTGAAAAGGTAAACAATCACTCAGTCAAAAGGTAGATAAATCACTCAGTCAAAAGGTAGTCAAATCACTCAGTCAATAGGTAGTCAAATCACTCAGTCAATAGGTAGTCAAATCACTCAGTCAATAGCTTGCAAGGATTGCATGTACTTACATGCCTACCAACATGTAGGTACCTGCATATGCACCTAGACTACATTCTAATACAAGAGTAAAAATTGTACAAATGTGCAATGAAACTACTCTATAAGTTGCTAATTATGGTCACACAAGAATGAATCTGATGACTGATTACAGTCATTACACACTGGTTTAACTTATACAATGTGTTTACAAGTTGCCCTGATACAAGTACAACATAGAATGTATGAACTTGTTGCTGTTTACCATACAATGATAAGGATATCGTGAATCCAAACATTGAATTAACATTCAAGAAATGTGGGCTTTATTCTTTCAATGTACAATACATTTTTAATGCTTTATCATCCAATTAAACAGCTTTGGGTTAAGGCATTTTAAGAATGAATAAAAGCAAGAAATCTTTTGAATATAAATAATCAATAGCATTGAATGTATTTTGCTATGCTGAAATAATGATTATGATGGTTAATCAAGTGGTTATTGAAAATATTAGTACAGACAATATAAATCACAATATAAAATATAAGCAGTGATCAGCAGTAGAAAAAATCCTTCCATGAACAATTTCATGCAGCATAAAGAGTTTTTTCAATGCTGACATGTACTTTTTCAAATTAAAATTTGTGGATGAACAAAGTGGAATAAAAATATTTAAATGTGGCCAACATGAATTTTGTTGTGCATATACTTTAAAGGGAAAGAACTAGGAAATTTATAAATTATATTTTACAGCTATCTTCTTTAAATTTTAGTTTGAATCAGGCATGAATATCAGATGGTATTATATTAGAGGATGTAGAGATGAAGCCTCATTTATATTCTTAATTTTTTTTTTAACGTTATGAGAATACTTTGAGATAAAATTCCAGCTAATTTAAGGATATCTTTATCTGTTTACACAGAGTGCATAAACCTCAAAAACAGATTAAATTTAAGTAACTATATTTAGCTGATGGCTTGTACTAATTAAAATAGTTTCTTTGGTTTTAACTAATTCTTCTTTTCTATCCCAACACCCTTCTTAATTTTGACTTTTTTTCACACACAAATTACGATAATTTCAACATACAAATTTAACATAGGATGACAATTTGAAAAATCTAAAAATGCATCATTGATGACAATGAAAGCTTACAAAGTCTTGAAACACACATACTGGTGACACCATTCAGTGAGGTTTTAAAAAATGATGTTTACAATAGAAAATCAGTGTGATTTAACAATCATTAAGATGAACATTGGTACAACAAAGCTAGTTTTATTCTATTTCAGTTCTAAATGACACAAAACTAGTTGCTCAGATTTAAGACAATTGTGTTTTTATTGGCAGAGCTTGAAATGTACATAAAGAAGCTATACTGTGGTTATACTGATCTCAAGTAGACTGAAGCTAGAGAGAGAGTGATATGGTAGAGTTAACGACAGCTGTATGCTGTCAGGCGTTATTGTTAGCATCATTAGATGTGAGAGGAATAAATGTGGCTTGTCTAAATTGTCTTCAAATTTCTTGTTTATTATCTCAAATTATTTTGTTTAAAAATTTTTTTTTAATTGTATTTTAATAAATATACACATTTTTAAGTTTTTTTAAAATCCTATAGCAATAAAGAACCCCGTCAATGGTTGAAAATTGGAATTAAAAAAGTGAAACCTACACCATTGGGTAAAGAGAAAATCTGGAAAAAAATTGATTTTAAAATGGGGAAAAGTTTTAACAAACCCAAAGTATATAAAAAAAAAAAATATCCCTAAAATGTTTGAAAATTGTTATTTAGTAGTGTGGTAGATAAAAAAAAAACATTAGTAAGAGTGAGATCTAAAGTTGAATCTTTGCTCTGTAGGTGAGCAGTGAAGCAACATAAAGGGTATCAGCAGCAGCAGTAAATAAGGACAAGCACAGATACCATCAACAGGTGCGTATGGTCAGGTATACCTTTCAGGACTTCGACTTTTTCTGTTGTGCCATGGGCAGTTATTATGGTGGTTTTTTTAATGGTTTTCCATGTCTGACCATCTTCAGAAACTCTGTAGGTTTCCACGATCTCTGTCACTTCCTGGGGTTGATCCTCCTCCGATTTCTCCTCTTTAGCAGCAAGGAGTTAATCCAATTAAATTGTACCATAATGACTATTGTATACATGTGTGTGCGTGCTATTACTGGGTGCATAATATAATAAAAAGTGATAGCTATATTATTGTGTGTAGTATTCTACAGTTATTCAAATCAGTTAGTGTTGTAGCAAGTAAGTAAAAACTTGAGGCTAGCTGGTACCCCTGACTGTCTACAGAGTGAAAACTAATGCATAGCTCATGCAGTTTATATGACCAGCATGCACTTGAGCTCACTACTACCAGTTATAGCCTAACAGCAAACACTGTCTAATTTACTTATTGGCTACATAATTAGATTATAACATGACAGGAACCACTTTATTAAAGATAATGGTAATTAGTTCATTTTAACCTTACAGTAATTAGTTACACAATTTTAGCCCGTTTAGCCCCACTGTAATTAATTTAACAATTTTAACAGGGAATTCATGACTTCATATAAAAAGAAACTGGTAATCAATGTCAACTGCTAAGTTTAATTGATTTAAAAAAAGTAAAAACCTTCCTTTAGACAGAGTGTAGTATTAAGTTCTATCTTATGGCAACTAACATTAGAAAACACATCTAAAAATGTATGACTAATGTCATTCAAACAAGTTTATGAGAAAAGATGAAGAAAAAACCACTTGAAAATTAACAGTATGAAAAGAGAAAATGATTGCCAAAGTGACCTCTGCATCAGATTTGTTCAATCAGAAATTGATCTAAATGTTTGCTAGTTAATCTGGCACAATATGGCCCTACAGTAACCAGTAGAGGTAGCCAGATTTTTTTTAACACCAGTGTGTTTTTGTTTTGGGAACACTAAATAATGTGGAGAATATGGAAAAATCTCAACTGGGCATATCAACTTGTAAATAGAACTTGAATCTAATAATTAAAAACTATCTTTAAAAAAAGAATTTAAATAAAGTTTTAAAAATTTCGTAAATTAAAATGAGATGAACTGATGGTATATTTTAAAATTTAAATGCTGAATAAAATCAAGCTAAACTAAACAAAGAGGAATCAACTGCAGTTAGTACTACTAATTACAGCTAACATCTATGCAGAATTAGTCAAGTCATCAATAGTCCTTGTTGAATGATGCAAGTCATGCTACACTGGGGATGATTAGTGCCTTAGACGAGCTTATCTGTAGGACTGGGTAGGACATGGGGTAGGTTGTCCTGCTGTAGAACATGGGGAGGTGTGTCCTGTAATAGAGTTGTGCTACACTAAAGACAATTAGTACCTGAGTCAAGCTTGTCTGTAGGACTTGGGGGAGGGGTGAGGACTTCTTCTTCCCCATCGTAACTTTCCTTTGGCTCTTCTGAAAACAAGAGGGTTACACATGCAATCAGAGGGTTTGCCAAACCAGGGTGGGCACCACTTCATACCCAGGTGGTTAGTTCAACTTGTGGTAGACATTTCTCACAAATATTTGATACAATCTTTCAAATTTTAGTTTTTTTAAAGTTAAAACGTTTTGCTAAACAAAATCTTTAAAAATTATTTTTAAATTCCAAAATCAATAAATGTTTGATTGTAGCAACAGTGTGAGAAATGTTAATTGGTTTATATGTTATTTCAACTTCCTCCACATAACCAGCAACCAAAGCACACAATCCAATCATAAGCAAACAAAATAGATGATAACTTAAACCAGTCAATGAAAGATCAGCATTTCTTGATGTACATAGGGTATCAGCAAGCAAAACAATAACTGTTTACTGATAAAAGATTCTCATTAAATTATCACAGTAAATACGATATTTCAAAGAGAATGTGTAAAAGTTAATGGAAATTCATTCAAAGAAAAGCAAAACACAAAAAGTTATTAATTTGCATGATAAGTTCGAACTCAAATTAAAAAAAAAATTGTAAAAAAAAGTTGTGGCAAATTTGTTTCAACATTTAAAAAACAAAATTGTTTTAACAAGCTGAAAATGATCACATGAAAAGCTTTGATGAAATAAAAATGAATGAATACAATGACAAGTTGGTGTTATAAGAGTTACAACAAAAGTCTAAAGCACAGCTCATTCAGGCCAGTTGTACAATAGGATAAAATCTAATTTATAGCTCTATTTTTGTGATCTATTTAACTATTACCACTTGCTAATGCAATAGAAAAACATACATATTTGAAATTTTTAAAATTCAAACAGTAAAATGATAAACTACCATGCACAAATTTCAAGGCAACAGAAAAATGTGTATACAGTTCAATTAAAAATGTACACAGAAATAAATTTCAAGGAAAAAGTGAGATTAGTATAAAGTTGTGTCAGGGAATTATCACTGAGATGTTTTTCTTAAAGCCAACTTTTGCATGCAATGACTCAACTGAAGTAAGAACAGAATTTGTGTTCATTAGTTTGATACAACTACATTAATCTAAATGACAAAAACAAACTCAAGAATGTATCATTCATGAACTTGGCAAGCCTTCAAAAAACTAGACAAGAGTGTAATGCTACATGAAATTAAAGTGGCAATGATCTCAATGTTTTACTCACAAGAAATATGTTAAGTGTTCAATTCAATATTTACATAGCCTTGGTTAAAAAAAACATAACCAAAAATCGGGCAGCTTTTTTTTATTGTTTATATAGAATTCTATTTTTTTTAAATAATTAAATGGAAAGTGAATAAAATAATAAATATTGACAATGAGTGCAAATAAACAAGACAAAAAAAAAACTGAAGATAGTGCTTATTTATAGTCACCATGCCAAAAACTGAGTGAGTGAATATATGAACTAAAAATTTGAGTAACAGATAAAACCAAGTGAAGGGTGTGTGTCTAGATGGCCATGCCGTGCAAGCAACAAAATATCAGGCCAAGTGCTGCACACACAGCAGGTACCTGAAAATGTTACGTGGGCTTTGTGTGCTGGGGCTTCATGTTGCTGCTCAAAGCCAGCTCTCAGAGAGGGAAAGGCATCAGTGGGGCTAGTTTTGGTGGATCTCACTATCTCCTCCTCTCTTATAGACTCAGCTGACTGTTCAGAATCTGCTTGTTCAAACCAGTGGGCAATGCATCAGTTCTCTAACATTTTACAACCAACATACTAGTACATGATATATATTTTAAAGCATTAATACATTTTTGAAAATCAAAACTGTCAAAACAAATATGAACGTGTCAATAAAAATGAAAGATCTCACAAAATTTTGAGAACAAATTTTTTTTTTTAAATACAATACTAACAATTAAGAGCATTAAGAATTAGTTAACAGCAGTCATGCATTTCTCAATCAATATTAATTTAAATGTCTGTGCAGTAGCAAGGCATAAAAAGTTTTTAAACAAACAGGATGGCAATGTTCTTGTTTCTAAGGATATATAAGTGATGGTTGAGGCAATTTTTAAGTGATGACTGTAGCAAATTAAGGTATAGGCCTCTGTAATGGTTATGGCAATTTAGAGTACAAGTGACCTGTTACAGCAATATTACCAAAAACCACTATTATTTATTAAGATGATTTTCTGAGTAACTGCCCCTATAGAAATAGTGGTGGGGGGGGGGGGGGGAAGAGGGATGCCATTTATAATTGAAATTAACCAACTCTTGCTACTTCATATTGGACCAATACTATTGATGCATTTTATTTACGTGGAAAAACTAGGCCCTATATCTGCTCTCCCTCTTGCACTACCACGTTAAACATATAGACCTGGATTTATTACAGTTAAAGCTATAGAATATAGAACGTCCACTACTTACTGTCTGCTAGCAAGTATCTTTCAACCACAGACTTGAAGGGTAACCAAAGCTCAAAGTAGAGCCTAACAACAGTAGGGAATGACATTGTTGAACACACTCCCCACTGGATTACACGGCATTTTTAAACAACGTGTGCATCACGCTTGAGTTGATCGACTTTCGGTACATTTTTAATCCTACTTTCGATTCCACCAACGCCAGCAGGATTATTACTTGGCCTAGTTGAAGCCCGGCGGGGCGTGTGCCAAGTGTGTTTGTGTCAAGAAGAGTGTGTGTCGCAACAGGATGGAAGATACTTCACTGACACCTTTCATCACACGGATCTACTTACTACACTTACTACACTGTAGCCTAGACTAGACTAGTTGTAAAACGGAGACATCGTGTGTGACGTCACTCGTGATAACACTCAATGAATGGACTCGTCGCCAGCGGAAAGTAAACAGACCCACATCGAGGTTACGACAAGTTGTTTACTTAGGGCACGGTTAGCAAAACAATCGTCTGATTTAAATTATCGATATGAAAATTATACGCTTCATATTTTAAATCTGCTAGGGAAAATGTAAGTTTCGCAGATTTTTGTAAACGTATTTAATATCGGATATACTATGCCATCTATATAACTAAGCGAATAGGATTTCTGGTGTAGACCAATACCTCAAGTTAGAGTACTAAGAGGTTATCTATTGTATACAATCATCAAACTAACAAATACTCTCCGTACAAACAATATAAACCGGGCTTAGTGCAAGTCTAAAGCCATCGACTAAAAATAAAACAAACGAGTCTACACAGCTGGCGTATTGTCAGATGGTGGTATGAACTTCGCTAATAAAAAAGTAAACAATGTCACGTGACCCGAAGTGCCGCAAGTGTGTAGCCGGCTCACGAACACATGTGTGCTAACCGTTGAGTAAAAATAGCACAGCCACACAGAACGAGAGAAAAACCACAGTTTACACTATCCGTATCCAAAACGAAATAATTCAAACTTGTGTCTACTGGGATAGATTATTTTCTTGAGATTGATCACCCGGTTCAAATCTCCTAGAAGCAGAGCTTTAGTGGAGAGTGGTCTTAAATTGTGTTTAACACTTTATAGGCAGGCTAGTTAAAGACAAGCACCACCATACATACAAGTGTAGATAAATCACGCAGCAGTCTATGTGATATAACAACACCAACAGCTCTACTATCGTGACTAGCGGCATCAAACGTCAGAGGCCGGTACCACACAGGTGGGCAGCTAACGTGCCGCACGTAACAACACGCTAATCCAGTTGATGAAACTACACACATCAACTATTGATTGGGAGACAGGTGTGTCAGGGTTTATTGATTGGGTGGCCGGATCGAACCACTTTTTTTTAAATCATCAGAAGTCTCGATAGATAGAACATTGGATAATGGCAACCATCAGAACAACAGTTTCGGTAAACCGGTGGGGGATAGTGAACAGAAATAAACGACTGGGGGGGGGGGGGGGAGGGTGGGTAAGTGAACATACACAAGGGCTATTTCTCTCTCAAGAAAGATTTAAAATATGTAGATTTGACTAGGTTTAATGGAGCGGCAGGTGACAGTTCTAGTGTGTCCGTCACGACAGAATATACACTACACATGACTGAGTCTCCATCTCTAGAGGTCAAACTAGGATTATGCTAATTTTTTCTCTACCTGCTATTGTACATTTCTTCCCTACATTGTGTGGGATATGAGACAATACCGCACTACCATCTAGATATGGTGAGAACACACTACCATCTAGATATGGTGAGAACACACTACCATCTAGATATGGTGAGAACACACTACCATCTAGATATGGTGAGAACACACTACCATCTAGATATGGTGAGAACACACTACCATCTAGATATGGTGAGAACACACTACCATCTAGATTTGGTGAGAACACACTACCATCTAGATATGGTGAGAACACACTACCATCTAGATATGGTGAGAACACACTACCATCTAGATATGGTGAGAACACACTACCATCTAGATATGGTGAGAACACACTATCATCTAGATATGGTGAGAACACACTACCATCTAGATATGGTGAGAACACACTACCATCTAGATTTGGTGAGAACACACTACCATCTAGATTTGGTGAGAACACACTACCATCAAGATATGGTGAGAACACACTACCATCTAGATATGGTGAGAACACACTATCATCTAGATATGGTGAGAACACACTACCATCTAGATATGGTGAGAACACACTACCATCTAGATAAGGTGAGAACACACTACCATCTAGATATGGTGAGAACACACTACCATCTAGATTTGGTGAGAACACACTACCATCTAGATATGGTGAGAACACACTACCATCTAGATATGGTGAGACCACAACAGTACCATTATACTAAGTGATAAAAACATTTTAGGAAAAAAGTGAAATAATGACCATTCTTTGAATAGAAACACTTATTAAATTGCCTTTTAAAAAGACAATGCTGCCATAGTAATATGCAATCAATAAAATCAATCATCCACACAGTTCTATCACTAATCAATATCATGCCATGCTTCTATCAATAAATGGCATCCCCCTCATCCCCCGCCCCAATGTGTGATTTAGGTCTCTTAGCTCGCACCCTAAAACCATGTTTTCATTAATGAGAACTCATGCTGCAACCATTGCACAGGTGTACGTGTGTCCACTGTCTACAGGAGGTGTACACAGTTTGTGGATTCTAGCTACAGAGGTGTACACAATTTGTGGATTCTAGCTACAGAGGTGTACACAGTTTGTGGATTCTAGCTAGAGGTGTACAGTTTGTGGATTCTAGCTACAGAGGTGTACAGTTTGTGGATTCTAGCTACAGAGTTGTACATAGTTTGTGGATTCTAGCTACAGAGGTGTACACAGTTTGTAGATCCTAGCTACAGAGGTGTACACAGTTTGTGGATTCTAGCTACAGAGGTGTACATAGTTTGTGGATTCTAGCTACAGAGGTGTACACAGTTTGTGGATTCTAGCTAGAGGTGTAGTCAGTTTGAAGATTCTAGTTATGGAGGTGTACTCAGTTTGTGGATTCTAGCTACAGAGGTGTACAGTTTGTGGATTCTAGCTACAGAGTTGTACATAGTTTGTGGATTCTAGCTACAGAGGTGTACAGTTTGTGGATTCTAGCTACAGAGGTGTACAGTTTGTAGATTCTAGCTACAGAGTTGTACATAGTTTGTGGATTCTAGCTACAGAGGTGTACACAGTTTGTAGATCCTAGCTACAGAGGTGTACACAGTTTGTGGATTCTAGCTACAGAGGTGTACATAGTTTGTGGATTCTAGCTACAGAGGTGTACACAGTTTGTGGATTCTAGCTAGAGGTGTATTCAGTTTGTGGATTCTAGCTACAGAGGTGTACAGTTTGTGGATTCTAGCTACAGAGGTGTACAGTTTGTGGATTCTAGCTACAGAGGTGTACAGTTTGTAGATTCTAGCTACAGAGTTGTACATAGTTTGTGGATTCTAGCTACAGAGGTGTACACAGTTTGAAGATTCTAGCTACAGAGGTGTACACAGTTTGTGGATTCTAGCTACAGAGGTGTACATAGTTTGTGGATTCTAGCTACAGAGGTGTACACAGTTTGTGGATTCTAGCTAGAGGTGTATTCAGTTTGTGGATTCTAGCTACAGAGGTGTACACAGTTTGTGGATTCTAGCTACAGAGGTGTACACAATTTGTGGATTCTAGCTACAGAGATGTACACAGTTTGTGGATTCTAGCTACAGATAGGTAATATAATAATAGTTACGGAGGTGTACACCGTTTGTATTTTCTAGTTAGTAGTAAAAAGGTTTGTGCCATGCTTCAACCATCACACATTTTTGTAAATGAATGCATAAAGTAAATCTTATCATATCTTAGTTTGACAAGATCAATATTCATGAAAAAAACACTACTAAATGTGAGCTTAGTCTTAATCGGACAACAATAAAATTATAATTTTAAAAATGTGTTAGTTCATATCAAAACAACATGCTGAAGTGAAAAAAATGCTTTTGTCTTGCTCATAAGACTGATGTTAAATAAAACAAATGAAGTAACACAAGAGAACAAAAAAAGTAAACTGAAACTGAAGAATGGAAGAACTGAAAGCAACACCAAAGTCCAGATCTGTGTACCTTGGCGAGAGAACTGAGCCTCCTGCATCTCTGCGTACTGGTTCATCTGTAGGGCCAGCTCTAGGTAGGCCTCTCTCCTGCCCTCAGGGTCCTCTTCATGGGCTACAGCAGGTCTCACTTGCTCCACGGGGGGTCTACGCTCATCTACTGATGCCTCAATGGGCTCGTCATACACAGAGTCTGGCCGCGGTGAGGTCACTAGTAATTGGGAGGGGAGGGACTTGTAATGGGATAGTGTCCCTTAATGATGTTAACTGGGCTTGTTGCAACTGACTGGAGTCATGTTGAAATGAGTTTACACTGACAAGGGAAGGAACTCAACCACTACTATCTTGTAGTTTGTATGCTAGAAGTTGGCTACTACTTATGCTATGGCAAACAGACATTATCTCCACAAAGTGAGGTCTGCAATCAATGACCAGTATACAACTTGACCTTTGAGTCGTACACTTGATTAGAATATGAAACTAATATTGCTTTGTTGTGCTAGTCCTATTTTCCTCAGGTATACAAGTAAATGTTATAGACAAACTCCATGTCATATAAATGCAGTACAGTAATGATGCAAACACATAATGAAGTATCATGATCATCAACAGCATATGTGCTCTCTTCACACACCACAAGTCACACATGAGTTATACAAACAGATCATACAAACAGATCATATTTAAATGGAATAATGCAATGCTAGTGTTAGATATGTGAAGCCAAAATGTGCATTAGTTAACATGATATAATAGATTTCAGAGCTAATTAGGAAATACTTTGAATAATTGCTTGCGTACAGTGCCTGTCAGAATTGGTCAAAGAAAACATGACAAGATGGACATCCTGTCCAAAGGTTCACTGACCTGCTATTGTGGGGGCGGGGGTGTGTTTCTTGCCTACGTCAGGTGGGTGCACTTTGTCACCAGTGGGACTCTCTTCTGCTGATTCAGATTCCTGAGAAAATAAGATCAATTATGTTTTTCTTTTGGTATCAGTACATTTTTATTCATGGCAGGAGAACCAGGTAACAGAATAGGAAATTCTACAAACAAAATATTTTTTAAAGGTCTGTAGCCTACTACTTGATGAATAGTAGGCCTACCCATATAAAACTACTAAAACAGATTTTTATAAACTGTTTAGACACATCTATTTGAATAAACCTCTATGGTGTTTATTCTCTCTACACAGGTGACTCTTCACTCTTCAAAACCTTGGGGTCTAGCATAAAAAATTCATTAGTTTTTATTATATTTAAACTTTCGAGCATTTTTGTAGTACTGGTATCAGCTCTGACTAGAATTGGGAAAAGGACTGTTGAGGTCACAGAAACAAGTGAGCTCTACTTCACCTACCATTCTAACCGTCAAATTAAAAAGGTCTATTACTTGTTTGTGGACTTGTTTAAAAAGATAGATCAGTGCCCTAAGTGGCTGCTGAAACAGTCCCCAGTGGAATAAAACATCATACAAATACTATCAGAACTATCTAATGCTTTCCTTTGGCATCTGTTCATTTGGTCCCACTATATTTGCAATTTTTTAACTTTACTTTAAAGTTAGGCCAAATTATTAAAAGAATCCATTTCTTGAATGGCTAACTCACCAGGAACCACAACTGTGATTTGAATTAATTTTACAGAAACAGTAGAATGTGAGAACACAACTTAAATCTGCTAAAATAAACTAAGAAAAAAAAATGTGATGGATGCCTACACACAACTAGAGGCCATGGACCTACACACAACTAGAGGCCATGGACCTACACACAACTAGAGGCCATGGACCTACACACAACTAGAGGCCATGGACCTACACACAACTAGAGGCCATGGACCTACACACAACTAGAGGCCATGGACCTACAGTATCTGGGCCATTGGGATTGAAATCATATGCATGGAATGGTCAGCTAACCCCAGGATGGGTTTTAAATCAAGGAATATAATAAAGTTCAAACAGTTGTAACTGAGAGTCTCTGTTGTATAACACAATCAAGACTTGAGAGATTAGAATCAATTTACTTGGATATTTTGCTTTTAGAATTTCAACATAAGAGTATAAATACTATAAATAATGTTTATAAAGCTGGATGAGTTTTATTTTAATTTGTTGACTAAAACGGAATGGTAAGCAAATACAAATCCCCACTCCAAAAACATTGAAACAGAAATTGATAACAAAATATTTGACTATAAACATGCAGAATCTGAGAAGTTGGTCACTAATTTATAGCATGCCTGCAAACTACACAGATGACCCTGGATTCTTAAAACATAAACCTGTTATACTTCATCTAGTATTTGTAGTTTTAAAAAGTAATACTTCATTGTATTTTATCAAACATAAAAAAATTCAATTTATTAAATTATTTATTTAGATGTTCTTTATGTTATAACACTCAATTAAAAAATAAGTTGTTGCCAATACCTATTGATATTAAGTTATTTACATTAAAAATATTTTACTATAATTAAAAATAACATTCATTAAATGTCTAGAAAAACTGCTAAGATTTTCCTGCTATTAAATGAGGGATACCGTCTAAAACAAATGAGAAAAAAAAACGAACAGAAAGGAAGTGCATGTAAAAATTATAGGGTAACAAAAGATATGAACAAAGGAAGTAACATCAAAAGATGAATTATTTAAGCCTATTTGAAGACTACAGTAAAAACAAAAAAACCAAGAGTTGTAAGCTAAGAGTTTCCATAGTGAAAAAAAAATACTTGGGCCTCACCTTAATCTCATCAAGATTCTGATCATTAGAATGGGATATGAAAGGGAAACAAGAATGATAGCTACTTTTAGAGTTGCGCATCATAATCATGGTCCACTAATCTCACGTTTAAATAGTTAAGTGTAATTTTTAGGGTACGGATATTTTTAAAATTATTTTTAAATTTTACAACACATGGTTTTTGGTATACAGAATAAAAATTAAAAATGAATTTTTCCAGGCCTAAAGATTTTATCACTTAAAAAATGTAGTATGTAATGAATTTAATTAGATGAAATGTATAAATCCAAAGTGTTATACGTATAAATATCATGAATAAGCCACTAGAAATACAACACTTCTAGCCTGGTCTACAGTTGGTATATGGTATCAAAGTTTCAATAGACAGGCGCTATCCTCAGGCAAACACAGGGGTCCAACCAAAACAATGAGCTCACCTTCATCATATCCTGCTCATCATACTGGACATCCAGTGACATTCCACGCTTCAAGGAGTCTTTGATGCCCACTTCCTCCTTGAAGGTGTCGAAACCTGAAGGAAAAAAAAAATTAATGGCATGTCATCAAACTATCTATATAATGGGACGGCCCGGTCTAGAGGTGGAGCGCCAGACTGATAACCCAATAGTTTCGAGTTTGAATCCGGGTTCAAGTTAGTGGAATGTCCCTGAGTCCACCCAACTCTGATGGGTACCTAACTCACGTTAGGAAAAGTAAAGGTGGCTGGGAATAGTGCTGACCATATTATCCCTTTAGTAGTTATCTAACCTGACTATCTCTAACCTGATCATCTAAAGATGGCAGTAGTTATCTAACCTGATTATCTAAAGATGGCAGTAGTTATCTAACCTGATTATCTAAAAGATGGTAGTAGTTATCAAACCTGATCATCTAAAGATGCCAGTAATTATCTAACCTGATTATCTAAAGATGGCAGTAGTTATCTAACCTAATTATCTAAAGATGGCAGTAGTTATCTAAGCTGATTATCTAAAGATGGCAGTAGTTATCTAACCTAATCTTAAGATGGCAGTAGTTATCTAACCTAATTATCTAAAGATGGCAGTAGTTATCTAACCTGATTATCTAAAGATGGCAGTAGTTATCTAACCTGATTATCTAAAGATGGCAGTAGTTATCTAACCTAATCTTAAGATGGCAGTAGTTATCTAACCTGACTGATCCATGATAGCTCTGGCAGCAGCTGCCTCTACCTCATCATCTACCCTCTCCACGTTGTACATATTCTTCCTCACCACATCATCTCTGTTGATTCTGCGAAGTGCATTCTCTAACTCATTCCCTAAATCAATGAAAAAAGTCTCTCATTTCACAATAGTAAAAATATCATGAGCTAAATTTTAGTTCTGAAAGAAAATTGTGTTTAAAACGTAATTTCATAAGTTTGTGGAAAGAAAAAATGTCTTCTTAAACATGATGAATTTTTAAGATGATTATTCTCTGTACCTGTTGCCTTTTCTCCATTCTTCTGTACCCAAAAATGAAGCATGGCTAAGGCCTGGTCTCCTACTGTCTTGTAATCATTCTTAAAATGGTTGATGTCCGAAATAGAAATGTGAAGCTGCTGGGCTAGCATCACCCAGTCTCCCTGCACCGTGTCTGCTATGTCCGAAAGTTTCATTTCAGCACGGTTCACTGAGTCCTGGATAACTGTCAACAAAAGGCAAGACAGGTTACAACTGCAGAAAACTTTTTATACACTGTCAAGTCTTATAAAACCACATCTTTCTCTCTAATAAAACTGTCACAGAATTAAATGTTATGCTAATTAAAAAATCAATCCTTAAATAGATTAGATACAGTAAAAGACACAAATTAGCTGTCACACATTCACTTACCTAATCCTTGGCCACGCAAAAAGTCATGACGTTTTCTTATTTCTGCTGACTTGTCAGGATCTAATTCTCCTGAATCAGACTGGTGAAAAAATAGTCTATGGTCAATTTAACACACCTAATTTTTTCTATGTATTTCCTATTTTTCTTGAAATAATGTTCAAGCACAATACAAATTATTTTCTCCAAAGTTTTTAACTTAGATCAAAACTGGATTTTGGCTTAACTAAAAGTATAAAAACTGACCAGGAGATATTAAAACTGACTTTGACTTAACTAAAGTTATAAAAACTGACAAGCTAATATTGAAACTGGCTTAACTAATAGTAAAAAAACTGACTAGGAGATATTAAAACTGACCTTGGCTTAACTTAAAGTATAAAAACTGACCAGGAGATATTAAAACTGACTTTGGCTTAACTAAAAGTATAAAAACTGACCAGGAGATATTACAACTGACTTTGGCTTAACTAAAAGTATAAAAACTGACCAGGAGATATTAAAACTGACTTTGGCTTAACTAAAAGTATAAAAACTGACCAGGAGATATTAAAACTGACTTTGGCTTAACTAAAAGTATAAAAACTGACCAGGAGATATTAAAACTGACTTTGGCTTAACTAAAAGTATAAAAACTGACCAGCTAATATTGAAACTGGCTTAACTAAAAGTATAAAAACTGACCAGCACCATGTCTGGGAGTCTGATGTTGAGATTGCAGATTGGAATTTGTGGAGCCTCTCCTCGCGCTACCTTCGGTTCTTTCATGAAGGCTACACGAGCACTCGGTTCTTGGTCCTTTAAAGACATTTTTTACTGCAGTTAATACTGAGAATTTAAATACTGCTGTGCAAAGGAATTTTAAAGTCAATGGTAAATGATCATTTTATTTGAAATAAGTGTGGTGAAATAGTGTATCTAGCTATGGCTGAGTGCACCAAAACCTTACCTGGTCTCTGATCTTAACTGTACATGGCAGCCGGTTTTCTCTAAAAGCTCGAAAGTTGACATGGAGCTGGTCACCTGATTTGGTCACTGGTATCAGGTTTCCTGCCATCTCCACAAACTGTGGCCGTCCTTCCAGTACCTGGTGGTATAGAATACAGTAGACAATACATGAGATGGTAGCTATGTGACATCAAGTTCCATTATTATTTTGATGCAAATCCTTGAATTTTTTCTAATTTAAACTGAGAAATAGGTCTGGGATTTTTTTCACTTGTTTTTTTTTTCAGAGCACTATGTATTTGGAAGAAGGTTGTTCAGGAAGCTTGAATCATGTAGAAAGTAAAATAGGAATGTTTACCTCAATGTCTCTGCTTCTGGCCACCTCATAAAACTTCTCCTGTTTCTCCAAGGTTTTCTCATCTTTGTCATCAGTCATACAGAAGATCCTCAGCTTGCCTTCCTCTGGGGAGTCACGCTTGGCGAACACCACAAACTTGGCCATGTAAGGAACAGTCACAGCTTCCTGATACAGGACTGAGGCCATCTGGGCGGCCTCTGCAACATTCTGGCAGTCAATCAACCAGAACCTGGCGGCACCAATACATGAGACCATTAGAACAGTGGCACCAATACATGAGACCATTAGAACAGTGGCACCAATACATGAGACCATTAGAACAGTGGCACCAATACATGTGACCATTAGAAAAAGCACAGCACTGTTTTAATTAAGGTGAAATCTCTAAATTACTTATTTACTCTCAGTATTATTGAGGCTATAAAGCTGCTCTGATTACCTAGCAGAAACCTTGGTGGTAAATGAAACGCAGTCATCCACAAGTGTCATAGGTTTGCTGTCAGTGACATCCTCCCACACAGCAGGGTTGGGGTCGGCTGAAACATACAGGTACCATCAATACATCTTATAACCTTTAACCTTCAATACATAGCATTCTATTTGATACATATTTTAAGTGTAAAATTATCCAAGCCTATTTATAACTATTAATTATTTATAATAAAAAATTAACTGCACTTGTATATGTAATATTAATACCCTATTAAACTTTCAAATTTGTTGGTTATATTAAAATGCTTAGTGGCATAGACTATATAACTTTAATACTAAACTGTTAAGAGAGCTGGTACAATATAGATGTATTGCCAAATGGTGTTTAGTAGATTGTTAAAAGTCAGATGAAAATAATGAGAATGTGTACAAAAAAAATTTCGAGTTGTGTTAGGGTTGGATATGCTTGACTGGGTCATATAGAGAATGAGTAGAACCACCAGATACACCCAAAATGTAGAAAAATTGTAGGTAAAAATGTACTAATATTTTTGTGAAGACTTGTATTTGAGCACCAGAAGGTACTAGAACAATGCAATGAATAAAAAGTATAGAATAAAATTTGTGCATTTATGAAGAGAAGTAAAAGTAGATTTTAAACACTTATGTACAAGCATTTTCCAATACACTGCTTCCAACATAAACACATGTCAGATTTAACATTGTATGAATCATAAAGCCAGTTCCAGTTTTTTAACCCCCTGTTAGCCACATGTTAACCCTATGTGGACCAATCAAACTGACATGCTGGAACTGGCTTTAGCTTAGTGTGCACCTGTAAAACTTATGCCACAGAAAGCAAAATAAGTTTCTCAAATAGGTAAAAAAAAATATAAAAAATAAACAGCTGCAAGCAACATCAATGAGTATGAATCAGCTCTAAAGTTTTTTTTTCAACATACTTTTGCTTACATTATTAAAAAAATTAAGTTATGTCCCTTTATAGGAATGCAGATGTTGCCAATTAAATTAAACTATAATAAATATAACATCTGGAATATATAGTTTTTTTTTTCTTCTTATAAAGAACAGATTGAAAAGACTGAATTATTTTATGTTATACAATATCTGCATGCTAACTAGAAATTTAATAGCACAAAGCATTTTTTTCTTCTCCACATTTTAACAACTGTCTCTTGAGACAACCAAACCAAACTGGTTGGAGAAATTCAACATAAACCAGTCGACGCACAGATTTATGATATGGCACATGCTATTCAGTCTCCCAACATTTTTTTTTTCTGATCATGACAGTCCAATGTGTTTATATCATTATAAATGTGTGGCTTTTTTAAAACAATATGCTAATTAGAAACAAACAGTTCAAGAAAGAAAAAGTTTTAAAACATCAACAACAGCATTCAAAATGTGGTTGCTACACAGAAATATTTAAAAAATTATGTAGCTAAGAACATATCCCATAGAACTTAAAGACTATTGTATCAAGACAAAGAAAAACTTAGATTTCTATCTACAAACATTATCATCATTGCTTGAATAGGAGCTTTAAACATTAGATGGGTGGGGAACCACTAAGTAAAATCTGAACATTAAAATATACTATTACAAAAACTTAATTAGTTCAAGCCTCAACAGCTAGTAAATTGTTTAAACAAACCTTGATGTAACTAAAAACCAAATCAAAATGATTGTCTAAACTTCTCAACACATTTTCTAATGTAGAGGAATTAATGTAATGCCCTCGTCCTAACCAATAGGGTTTAATGTACCCTTACTATAATTAACACAAAACACATTTTCTTACTACTCTAAGTATCTCTGTAAAATAAGCCTACAACTAAAAAGAAAATCATAGAACAAAAGACAAAAAAGTTACAATTTGCTGTTATAGAAGTACCAAAAATGAAATGAAAAAAAAAAAACTAGCTACAGTACTGGAAGTTGAATGTATAAAAAAAAGACTATCTCTACAGAAGTCTGGGTTGCTAAGAATGAAACAAGCAGTATTACCTCGCCCATGTGAATTGTTGCCTAGGTGCAGCAAGGAGGAGTCAAATAGAAAGGGAAGAGGGTAGAATCAAGATAATCACGTACTGTAGGGTGCCATACTACAGCCATGTTACATACAGCCACATACATCAACTCTGACAGCTACTCATAACATAGTGGCTGTCTACTACTATATCTTTAGACTACAGCTTAAGTCTAACCGTAGCCAGGTTTTAAAGCTAGTAATCAAAGTTTTTCATGCAAGGTATAACACATTATTTAGTTAAGCTGATTAATTTACTTTGTAATATTTTTACTAGCAAATATGCCAGCAGATAGATAAAATTGTGAAATTTAAAGCTAAACAGAAGCAATGAAAATATTAAAAGGTGATAGTGAGTCTTATAGAACATTTAAGTTTTAAACATGGATAAAAAAGTTTAAAACTGGGAAAAAAAACCCATGGATAAAAATTTTAATTAAGGGGAAAAACCCGTGGATAAAAGTTTAAAACAGGAAAAACCCATGGATAATATGTACACCAACATGCCTGTGAGGAAATATACATGGACTTTAGAGGAGATGGACCATAGCATAACTACACAAACTAAGCATGTGTCCAGTTTTGGCAGCTTTAAAAACAATAATGAAAATTTATTAGTCTAAATGTGAATATGTACACAGACTAGCTAAATTAGAATACATTTTTAAAATCACTTTTTAATATCTTACACTGGACACATCCCTAGAAGTACAAAAAAATACTTTAAAAATTAGTGAAGAATGGTAAAATATATTTAGTGTCTCAAAAAAATAGCCCATCAAAAATAAAAGATAAATTGATTTTAAACTTAATGTAGTCCTACTTGAAGAAGCTGGAAAGAAAACAGAGTAATGGTCCATGTTTACACATTTCTATTGCAGTTGAGACAAAGTATTCTAATTGTGTGTGATGGAGAATACACATGCATTTTACAAAGTGATACCAACAAGCATTTTCAGAATTTTTTTTTTTTGGGGTAATCAGGGAAAAAATAATTGAAAATAATCTTGCCTTAATAAATATAATCATTTAATAAATATTATTAAATTTTTTTTAACACATTAAAATGTGTACTAGATAGTAAAGTTGGTCATATGATTTATAAAAAAAATTGTGTAGAAACTTTTAAAATCATGCGGTATAAAATCAAATTGATGACTACATTACTGTAATGGGGAAAACACAACGGTACCAAAGAAATGTGAGGAAGAGAACAACATCAGTACATTACATTAAACTTTATAAAGTTTCAGAAAAGTGGTTAACACTATTTTAGACAATGCTAAAATTCTGAGAGCAAGAGCGGCCAAGTCCCTACTTGTACAAACAAACAAACAAACAGACAGACAAACAACATCATTATCAACAGCAAGAGAATTTGTTAAAGTTCATTAGTTAATATCATTTTATGGTAGTGTTAAATTAGTTATAACTACATATATTTTTTAAGAATACTTATTCTGATAGGAAAAAAAATTATAAGTAATTACTAAATTTATTTTCATTATTTTATATTCAGGTTATAGGTATGTTAGTGAACAGCACACAGGTACAATAAGGCAACAGCACAACAACCTACCTGCAAGGCTGAAGAGCAGACGCAGGGTTGGACGTTCTCCTCCATACTGGTTGATCATCCCCTTCTGGGCTGCCCTTGGGACTGGGATGGTCAGGGTGATGGGCTTGTGGAACTGACGTCTGCGTGGCTCAATGGTCACTATGGGGCTCACTGCCACACGGTTGCCTAACAGCTTGGCAACCAGCTCAGGTGCTATTGGCTGGGCCTGGAGTAGACAGGTGGGTGTAGAGACAGTCAAAAAGGGAGAGAACTAGGATTTCAGGGGTGTCAGGGGGGACAACTGAGCCATGAGACTATGAGATGCACTTAACCAATCAATCCAAGTGAATGTCAGAAAGGGACAGGACTGATTTATCAGGGGGGACAACTTTTGAGTCATGAGACTACAAGATGAGATGCACATAACCAATCAATCCATGTGGATGTCAAAAAGGGAGAGAACTGGTGAGTCAACAGACTACAAGATAAGACAAATACATTGGATGAATCAGAACACAGACAGCCATTTAACAAATAAAAGGAGGCGTTTGAGTGGAAATATTTTATGTGGTCCTTTGAGAAAACACAAGTACACAAAGCAAATTTATTTTTAAATTCTACACTAAGCACTGGTACAGCAAAGTCAATCATTCCATTTGATGACCAATGTATTCAGTTGTTTAATCCCGTTACAATGTTGACAATAGTAAAAAAAAATAGCATTCAAACAGACAAAGAATTACAGTAGTATAATTTTAAAACCTGCTATTTTCCAAAATGTTGGTAAAAAATGTTGGAACAATAAGTTCTAACTAATTCTGATATTTTATTTTAAAATGAATTTTTAAAATCACTTCTATTGCTCTTATTTTAGAAAGCTAAAAATTTTAAGCTAGCTTATTACTGTTTGCCTAAAACACTTGTTAAAGAAGATTTTTATGCTTTTTAGGGAAAAAATGTGTCCAAAAATTTACAGATCAAGCAAGCGCTTATTTGAATTTTAAAATATAAAATAAAAAATCTCAAAGCCACTGATTGAAAACTTTTATATTGTGTATACAAAATGTATGAGTATTTAATGTAAATATACATAATTTAATAAATCATAATGATTTATATATTCAATACAACAAAATTTGTTTTAAAAATGTAGCTTTAAAACATGTTTGTTTTTATTTTGATTATTTCTCTTTGAAAGATAAAAAGGCAAGGTAATATCATTGATATAATACAGACAAGACCGTAAACATATCTTGTGGCTAAAAAATCTGTGATCTTTCTTTATTGGAGGTCAACAATTGTATAATGATTCAAAGGTAAAGAGGACAAAGATAACAAAGCTTTATCTATGGAGTCATGTTTAAAATTTGATTTAGCATTAGACCTTTTTATCAAGTTAGTGAATCCTGGTCAAACTAATTTATAAAAATATTGGTTATTTAAATTAGCACACTAATTTATCTTATCAAACTACTCCCCACCAGAAAATTTAAAATAGACATAGCTATCTAATAAGTACTGTTTTGAAAAGCTGTTATTTCACCAGTTTTTTGTTGCTAATGAGATTTGTATAATTTTGTTGAAACACATTTTAAGCAAACTGTTGTAGAAGAACTCTTGCAGACCGTACATTTGATTAAAGGCATATAAGAATTTATGGCACAGTGACAGATCATCACACACACAAAACAATTACTTCCTCAGAGTTGGGAAGTAAAAACACATCGAAATACTTCTCGTACGTTAGCACTCACACCGGAATGGAAAACATTTTACAGTAAATTTAAAAAAAGAATGATGTTTTACAATGAAGTAGCTGCCCTTATAGTTTTCCCCTAGCGTAGTGGGAAGGGCTATGTTTAGACTAGAAAAAAGGGTGGAGGGGGTACACCAAGAAGCTTTAACCAGTAGAGACTAGGCCGTCAGTTGCTGGCTGTGTTAACATCTAACCAGAACAATGTTGGTAAACAAAACTTCATGCTACAACATGTCTAACAACTATGACAACAACAACCAGAATCAAACAGAAGCAACAATTCTGTCTCAAAGTACACCTCTCATCAAATTGGTTTAAATTTTTTAACATGTCCAGCTTTGGGACACGGCTACAGGTCGTCAAATTTTACCCGTTTGGCCTTACGCCCTTTTGGAGGCTATGGAGATTAGAAAATGGCTTTTCTTAATTCAAACAAGTTCCTGTGATTGTTCTAAACAGATTATATTTTTAATTTTTAATCTTCTAAACAAATGTGGTAAAAAATGTTTACTATGGAAAGTACCCCTTTTGTAGTAATTCAAATATAATTTTAATGTATCAACCAGTAACAGTTAAAAATGTGTGGCCTACTTCCTCAATTTTAAAATCAATGATAGTGGAATATAGTGGGAACTCAAATAGGCAAGGCCCCTAGCTATAAGAAAATATTGTCCAGAGAATGTAATCTACAAGAAACTCTTGTGATTTACAGAAAATATTAAAAAAATTTCTACTGACTGGTCTGTAGGGTCTATCTGAACCATATTGCCACACCCAGCTATAGCTTCAGCTAAAACTGAGGCCTATTGCCACACCCAGCTATAGCTTCAGCTAAAACTGAGGCCTATTGCCATACCCCAGCTATTTTTTAGGCTAACCAATGGAGCTTAGGACCTATATATTGGCCTCTAGGTCAGCTAAAAAAAGCTTGGGGCCTTGCTATTAGAACCTCCATGTACAACTGATACTGTATGGCTGATATTATTAAATAAATATGTTTAGTATATCTGATGAGCTCTAATAAACATTGTACTTGTTGTACATTAAGTATTGTAACCCAACTAATGAGTGACCTGATGCAGCTGAACAAAACAACACCTAGAGGCTGCATATAAAACTTACCTGTAAGCCAACAGGTATGGGTCTCCTGAGTGTCCCCTCAGGGAAGACGGCCTGCACCTGGGGTACAACATTAGAGCTGAGCACGCCCCCCTCTGTACCAATCACTGTGCTCTCCTGCTTGACCCGGGTCACTCTGGACACCAGGGCAAAATACATGGGCAGGTCGGAGGTCAGGATCCTCTTGATGCGTTTGTTGGCCATTTCTTCTTCACTGTCAAGCTCTATCCAACAGACGGACACATTGAAGTTTTATTTGGAATAAAATACTTTTTTTTTTGTAAATAATTATAAGGGCAATATTAAAGAAATCATATAACTGTGTCTAACATTTTCAATAAATATTCATTAAAAAACAACTTAAAATTGTATTAATAAGAAATTGAAATTATGTTTATAATTTTAATCTGTTTTGAAGTCACGGTTTTATTATTTAAGTTGATTAACACTAAAAAATAAAGAGTGTTTATGTAAATATAACAACATGCTTTTACAACAAAAGTTTTCACATGTACACAAACTATACTGAATGAAATTTGATGGATAAGTATTTTAGTGATGAAGGCTAGTAGGTTGTCTAAGTATAAAAATGGTGATGAGTTCTAGTAGGTTGTTTTACAGGTGTGCCGATACAATGAGATAATTATTAAAAGATGCAAATTATTGAGTAAAAAATATCTAACGTTAAAAAAAAGGTCATGCTTTTAAAAGACATTTTAGTTAATAAAAATAGTAAAGGTTTTAGGGGATGTCATACTTTCTCCTTTTTAGTAATCTCAACATTTAAAGACATTTTAGTGAACCAAAAAAGTAAAGGTTTCTATGGGAGGTCATGCTTTCAATGGTCTTAACCCAGTAACATAGAAACCCAGTAACATAGACTCGTCCTAGGTAGCTTTCAAGAAATTAATTTGACACATATGTTTAATAATCGTTCAATAGATTTTCTTCTTACAGAAAATTGATATTTTTTTTTCTCTACACATATTTCATTCTCAAGTTGGTGGATATAGTTTTAGTTCTTTGACTGGTGCTTATAGTTTATAGTAGCCTTATGATTTTGAGTTCTGTATTTTAACATGTTTCCACAAGAGACTAAAATTTCTAACACTAGCAAAAACTATTCTAAGTTTCAATACTGATAAACATGAACATTGTATACACAGGCAACAACAGGAAACTATAAGTATATGTCTCAGGACAGAACTTTGTTGCTTGATTTAAACACAGAGAATTATCAAACCAAAGCTAATTGGTGGTAACTTCCTCTAGACAGAGTTATCAAACTTTTCAAACAACAACAACAAAGTCCTGCCAATCAACACACAGCTTGAAACAGCTCAATGAACTATGTTTATCAATAATTATGTACAAGTTTGTTTTCATCAAACAAATACACAATAAGTTCTAGAACTGTTTCCAGCAGTGGTTTTATTTCTTATGGGTGGACATTAGAATAAACTTACCATTCAAAGGTTTAATATCTAAACTTTGTTATTAAAAAAAATTATAAATTAAATACTTTTTTTTCTAGTTTTTAAATTGCTTCGATCAATTCAATTATCTCTGAATAATCAAAAACTTGAGATGATTTTTCCCCTTTAAACTTAGAATAAGACTGAAAATGTCACCCATAAAATGTTATACAGGGGTGAAAGGTTACAAAAGCTAGGGTGCTCACTCCAAACACTGGCCACAGATGACTGACTGCCATGCAGCCCACCTTCTGCGCTGCTACCCAGAGCTTCAGCCACAGCATCCTCAGTGGCCTGCATTGGGTGCTCGTACCAGGTCTCTCCATTGTCACTGCGCAGGATCACCACCTCACGCTCTTTGCCACGCAGGGAGGCAAAGTGTGGTACTTCCAGGAGCACAGGCCTGTAGAGGAAAGATGGTCACATTTACTCATGCTAGTCAACACAGGCCTGTAGAGGAAAGATGGTCACATTTATTCATGCTAGTCAACACAGGCCTGCAGGGGAAAGATGGTCACATTTATTCATGCTAGTCAACACAGGTCTGTAGAGGAAAGATGGTCACATTTATTCATGCTAGTCAACACAGGTCTGTAGAGGAAAGATGGTCACATTTATTCATGCTAGTCAACACAGGTCTGTAGAGGAAAGATGGTCACATTTATTCATGCTAGTCAACACAGGTCTGTAGGGGAAAGAGGATCAAATTTATTCATGCTAGTCAAGATTATTTGACTCACAAAGTATTGCTGCAACTCTTTTCAAACATTTTAAAATGTTCATTTCAATGAATACATTTTAACTTCCGGATTAGTTTTGTAGACAATGGATTCTGGATTGGGGATTTCACAAAATATTTGGGGGGAAATATACAAAAATTGTATAAAAATAAGATTTGATTTTTAAAAGAGAATCAGTTTTACATTGTTGACTCACATTGTATTTAACCCTTTAATGCCTGGGCATAAAAATGTTTTTACTTTCCGTATGACCAAGTAGGTGACAACACAATTTTCAAAGAAAATATATTTGCTTAAAAAAATATTTTTTAAAGTATCCCAGATCCGTTATCAAATTTTAAAAAAAAAACATACTGGAAAATTGTCTTCATTTATTATATTTGAGTCTAAAAATAACTTAATAATTAACTACCCGACAACAGACCTATGAAAAAATTAAAGTACAACTTATTATTACCAGCTAATGCTTGCATCTTTAAAACCTCATTACAACTATTACTGTATTATTACAAGAAAAGTTATCTAAAGCAGAAGGATGTGATACTGACCCCAGAAACTTGGTTCCATGACTGTATTACTGTATTATTACAAGAAAAGTTATCTAAAGCAGAAGGATGTGATACTAACCCCAGAAACTTGGTTCCATGACTGTATTACTATATTATTACAAGAAAAGTTATCTAAAGCAGAAGGACGTGATACTGACCCCAGAAACTTGGTTCCATGACTGTATTACTGTATTATTACAAGAAAAGTTATCTAAAGCAGAAGGATGTGATACTGACCCCAGAAACTTGGTTCCATGACTGTATTACTGTATTATTACAAGAAAAGTTATCTAAAGCAGAAGGATGTGATACTGATCCCAGAAACTTGAAGAATGTGACACTGACCCCAGAAACTTGAAGAATGTGACACTGACCCCAGAAACTTGAAGAATGTGATACTGACCCCAGAAACTTGAAGAATGTGATACTGATCCCAGAAACTTGGTTCCATGACTGTATTACTGTATTATTACAAGAAAAGTTATCTAAAGCAGAAGAATGTGATACTGACCCCAGAAACTTGAAGAATGTGATACTGACCCCAGAAACTTGAAGAATGTGATACTGACCCCAGAAATTTGGTTCCAGCAGGTCCCATCTCCAGGATTCTGGCAGCCAGACCTTCACCTTCCAGCATGGGGGGTTGTTTGGTCAGCTTCTCCTTCTTGACCAGTCGGCAGGTGATCCTGGTAGGCATGCAGCACTTCCTGGGTGGGATGATGATGCGAACACCAGGGTGGCGGCATCCTCTCATGGCCCCACCACGGGCATCCACCATAAAGCTGATCAGGAAGCTGGAAGAAAGAAACAAGGGGAGGTTTAACAAGTCCTAACAAGTGCATTGATGATAGTTTCAATAAAGTAGGGTTCATTGAAGGCAAGGGAAATTTTTTTACTGATATTTTATAGATACAAATATATATTAGAATAAATGAGATTTAGAAATAGCTGTAATGAAAGCATACATTAATTAAAAAAACCCACTAAAATAAAGATTTGTGGAGTTCCATTTTGAGTATTAAATAGTGATTTAAAAGACAACTATGTAATTTTAACAAAAGGCAGAGAGCTATTCATTTTTCCACTTGTTTCGAGCTAAAAGGTAGCTAACTTTGATCCCCGCCACACACATGTCAACTGATAAAGCTAGGCTAGCATGTGCACCCAGACAGTTATTTTAACACCTCCCCCCCCCCCCCCCAATACAAAACCCATGTAAGCTGCTTGTATTTTCTAACATTACAAACCCCACGATTTTTATACTGCTAGCAATTTTTACCTTAGCCCCCAAGTAAAAGTTGATTTCATGCCAATTCCAACAAGTATAGAAGACTAATGATTTCACCATAAGTTTAAACAACACATCAGTACGTAGATGAGACTACAAATATCAGCACAAAAGGTGCAGAAATAAACTATCTGCTAAACAAGATCAACTAAACAAAACATTTTACAATATAACATTAAGTCTGCTATAGCACAGCAAGCACATGATACAAAAACTTGTTGATATCTCAGTATTAAAATTTAATGTATAGGATGTTAGCATCAATGTATTGATGTATGATGTGGCAGATATCCCTGTACTCATGTATAGGATGTTGCTGACATCCTTGTATTGATGTAAAAGATGTTGCTAACATCCCTGTGCTAATCTAACAAATGTTACTGACATCCCAGTATTGATGTATAAGATGTTACTGACATCCCAGTATTGATGTATGATGTTACTGACATCCCTTTACTGAGTGATGTGTATGATGTTACTGACATCCCTTTACTGATGTGTATGATGTTACTGACATCCCTTTACTGATGTGTATGATGTTACTGACATGCCAGTATTGATGTATAGGATGTTACTGACATCCCTTTACTGATGTGTATGATGTTACTCAACTTACTGATATCCCTTTACTGATGTGTATAATGTTACTGACATCCCTGTACTGCTGCACATGATGTGTCAGCAGGTAACATAAACCAAGGTGTGGCACTAGCAGCAGATAAACCAAGTGAGAGTTTCAGGAGCAGATAAAAAACTTGGTCAGCATTGCTGTTTTCTCATGGGGGAATCTTTCTTACCCTTAGAGGTTTAGAGCAGGAAAACACTAGACTAACAAGATAGGGGTGGAATGGAGGGAGGGGTTAGGTTAACTGGAGGGTGGGGGGGGGGGGTTCATTTTAACTGGTTTCTCTGGGGAAAAAACTTGTCTGGGTCAGAGTTAGGAAGGCTGATGTAGTGAAAACAGGTGAGCTAGCTCACAAACACTTTCTGTTTCCTACTTTCTCAAAGTGGGTAGACAGTTTCACATTTTATCTGAGTGGGTAGACAGTTTCACATTTTCTCTGAGTGGGTAGACAGTTTCACATTTTATCTGAGTGGGTAGACAGTTTCACATTTTTTAACACAAGTGGGTAGACAGTTTCACATTTTTTAACACAAGTGGGTAGACAGTTTCACATTTTATCTGAGTGGGTAGACAGTTTCACATTTTTAACACAAGTGGGTAGACAGTTTCACATTTTTAACACAAGTGGGTAGACAGTTTCACATTTTATCTGAGTGGGTAGACAGTTTCACATTTTATCTGAGTGGGTAGACAGTTTCACATTTTTTAACACAAGTGGGTAGACAGTTTCACATTTTTAACACAAGTGGGTAGACAGTTTCACATTTTCTCTGAGTGGGTAGACAGTTTCACATTTTTTAACACAAGTGGGTAGACAGTTTCACATTTTATCTGAGTGGGTAGACAGTTTCACATTTTTTAACACAAGTGGGTAGACAGTTTCACATTTTATCTGAGTGGGTAGACAGTTTCACATTTTTTAACACAAGTGGGTAGACAGTTTCACATTTTCTCTGAGTGGGTAGACAGTTTCACATTTTATCTGAGTGGGTAGACAGTTTCACATTTTTTAACACAAGTGGGTAGACAGTTTCACATTTTCTTTGAGTGGGTAGACAGTTTCACATTTTATCTGAGTGGGTAGACAGTTTCACATTTTTTAACACAAGTGGGTAGACAGTTTCACATTTTATCTGAGTGGGTAGACAGTTTCACATTTTCTTTGAGTGGGTAGACAGTTTCACATTTTCTCTGAGTGGGTAGACAGTTTCACATTTTTTAACACAAGTGGGTAGACAGTTTCACATTTTCTTTGAGTGGGTAGACAGTTTCACATTTTCTCTGAGTGGGTAGACAGTTTCACATTTTATCTGAGTGGGTAGACAGTTTCACATTTTTTAACACAAGTGGGTAGACAGTTTCACATTTTATCTGAGTGGGTAGACAGTTTCACATTTTATCTGAGTGGGTAGACAGTTTCACATTTTTTAACACAAGTGGGTAGACAGTTTCACATTTTATCTGAGTGGGTAGACAGTTTCACATTTTTTAACACAAGTGGGTAGACAGTTTCACATTTTATCTGAGTGGGTAGACAGTTTCACATTTTCTCTGAGTGGGTAGACAGTTTCACATTTTATCTGAGTGGGTAGACAGTTTCACATTTTTTAACACAAGTGGGTAGACAGTTTCACATTTTATCTGAGTGGGTAGACAGTTTCACATTTTCTCTGAGTGGGTAGACAGTTTCACATTTTATCTGAGTGGGTAGACAGTTTCACATTTTTTAACACAAGTGGGTAGACAGTTTCACATTTTATCTGAGTGGGTAGACAGTTTCACATTTTATCTGAGTGGGTAGACAGTTTCACATTTTTTAACACAAGTGGGTAGACAGTTTCACATTTTATCTGAGTGGGTAGACAGTTTCACATTTTTTAACACAAGTGGGTAGACAGTTTCACATTTTATCTGAGTGGGTAGACAGTTTCACATTTTCTCTGAGTGGGTAGACAGTTTCACATTTTATCTGAGTGGGTAGACAGTTTCACATTTTATCTGAGTGGGTAGACAGTTTCACATTTTATCTGAGTGGGTAGACAGTTTCACATTTTTTAACACAAGTGGGTAGACAGTTTCACATTTTATCTGAGTGGGTAGACAGTTTCACATTTTATCTGAGTGGGTAGACAGTTTCACATTTTCTCTGAGTGGGTAGACAGTTTCACATTTTCTTTAAGTGGGTAGACAGTTTCACATTTTATCTGAGTGGGTAGACAGTTTCACATTTTATCTGAGTGGGTAGACAGTTTCACATTTTCTTTGAGTGGGTAGACAGTTTCACTCATAGATGTAGAATGGATAACTAACTTAAGCTATTTATTTGGCTGCTATTCTGGTTTTATCTTCCTTAAAGTATCAATCTTTTATTACCCCTTTATCATCAGATCATCCCTCCCCAATATCATGTATTGCAGGCTACATGAAAATGTTGGAAAATCTGTTTACAAGTGGTTGAACTTTAAAAACCAACTTTAAGTAGTTGGGCGACTGATAATTGTATACCTATACTGGACCTAAAGTGACCTAGACCAATTAAGAATTCTAGCCTATTAGTTAAAATACATACTATTATAAATACTAAATAGTCTAACTTTTAGCCTAAAATACAAGTAAAACTAAAAAAGTTAGGCCCTATTTAATTCAAAATATTTTAATTTTTAGGGGACTAAATGTATGGCTCATGTTATAAAAAATAGATTCAAATAAAAAAGACTAGACTCAAGAGTATTTGTATTACATTATGGTGTTAATCAGGTCATTGGTAAAACTGACAATACGGTGTTAAAGTCAGTTAAAGAGGACTGAGGGTAAAACTTGAGTTAAATGTCGTTAATGAATGTAAAAATATGCCGGAGGGAAGACGCTACGATCTTATTAAACAGCACGCTCGTGTCATGTGTTGAAAGCCGGTAGTCCGCGCTACACGGCTGGCCTAAATACGGAGAGTCGACGTGTGTTGTCGGCTGTTGTTTATGTGACTCGCGGTACTTTGTTCAAGGAAACCGGCGCTAAAATACAATCAACGGACGGTTAAATAACATCCAGGCAGGTCACTAAATCACACCGAGACATTGAGCCAAGCTTCCCTCGACCAGGGGTCAAAATAAAGTAGTGCCAAAGGTCAAATCGGTGTGATGAGCAATAGGCCAAAGTAATAAATAACGTCCTTATTGAATAATACAGCAGTGTGTCACCTTCTGCAGACGACGTGTGTCACCAGGGGTTAACAGCAGAAGTATAGGCACGTTATGATGTTGAATTACATACTAAATCTAGGCTACACAAACTTTTTATCACGCCCTGTATTTATATTGTAGTCTAAACTAAACTAAGTTATCGCTACTCGACGTATAGGCCCACTACGTTTTTACAGAATGTAGGCCTATATTTCTACATCTAGTCATCTAGATTCTAGACTTCGATCAAGATCTTGTATTTTTTTGTATTAAGTTTTAACCATGGAAGTTATCGTCCAAAGACACTAAACTTTATGAACCAAACTAGACTAAAAGTACTACTAGATCTAGATCTAGACTTAGATCGAATAGCCTAACTATAACTATAACAATAATGATGATTGTTAAGTCTAGTAAATTCTAAGTAAATAGTTTTAGTTAGGCCTAACTTCAGTAACTAACTCCATTGATAAGCCTAATTCAATTCCTAATTTATCTAATTACTCAACTATGCTGTAGGCTAGCCTAATTAGTAATTACTAATTAGTAGCATAAGTTCTTACTTTGTTCGTAAAAATAAAACGCGTAGACTAGTTAATTAATTATTGATACAACAAGCCAGAAGCAGCACAATTTGCTGGGATCATAAACGAACAGAATCTGAAGTTACTCAATCTATAGAATAGAGAATGATAGCCTAGA